AGAAACACCTTTCACCAACTCTGGTTAGTCCTCTCCTGGCAAAAGATGCCGTTGCTATAGTGATCCATGCCTTGTTACTGTGACATTAGCCTGTCTCTGAAAGGTCTTCATCTTGTTCAAAATACAGCAGCATTACTTCCTTGCCCAGTATACCTGAAGGAGCGTCTCCACCCCCATCATTCAGCCTGGACACTGAGGTCCAATTCTGAGGGCTTTCTGGTGGTTCCCTCATTGCGAGAAGCAAAGTTACAGGGAACAAGGCAGAGGGCCTTCTCGGTAGTGGCACACACCCTGTGGAACGCCCTCCATCAGATGTCAAGGAATTAAACAACTATCTGATTTTTAGAAGACATCTGAAGGCAGGCCTGTTCAGGGAAGTTTTTAATGTTTGATGAATTATTGTATTTTAATCTTTTGATGGAAGCCACCCAGAGTGGCTGGGGAAACCCAGCCAGATGGGCAGAGCAGGTTATAAATATATTATTATTATTCCTAAAAGGTAAAGGTAAAGGGACCCCTGACCATTAGGTCCAGTCGTGACCGACTCTGGGGTTGCGATGCTCATCTCGCTTTATTGGCCGAGGGAGCCGGCGTACAGCTTCCGAGTCATGTGGCCAGCATGACTAAGCCACTTCTGGTGAACCAGAGCAGCGCACGGAAATGCCGTTTACCTTCCCGCCAGAGCGGTACCTATTTATCTACTTGCACTTTGACATGCTTTCGAACTGCTAGGTTGGCAGGAGCAGAGACCAAGCAACGGGAGCTCACCCTGTCGCGGGGATTCGAACCGCCGACCTTCTGATCGGCAAGTCCTAGGCTCTGTGGTTTAACCCACAGCGCCACCCGCATCCCTAGCTAGGACGAATTATACTGAGCATTTTATATGGGAGCTTAATTGTCCTCACTGGTTTCCAGTTTGTTTCTGGATACAATTTAATGGTTGTGTTGACCTATAAAACCCTGTAAGCAGCTTAGGTCCTGCCCATCTGAACCTAGGCATCTCCACATAAGCCTGACCATTTCCTGAAGTTGTCATCGGGCACCCCCCCACCCCCCATTGTAGATCCTTCTAGAGATTAGGCAGGAGCGGATTACCGGAGGCCGGTCCTTTTATGTGCTTCCACATGGGATATAGAACTCCTTCTGAGACATTTAGTCAGCCGCTGCTCTCTTCTATGTGGCAAAACCTTTGTATACATGAGATTTTGGCTAGGCATCTCAGTCACTGTAATAAAGATGTGGTTTTATGGATTAACTGTGTGCTTCCGGGATCCAGAGCTAAAAGAGCAAAACTGTTGGGCTGACCCCTATAATCATAAAGATAAGGTTAATAAAGACGTGATACTCAACCTTTACAAGCCTAAGACAGAAACATCACCTGGAATACTACTGCTTCCCTTTGCCTCGGGCAACAAAGTTGATTCTGCTGGCACTTGAACAGATGAGCAAACACTGTCACAGCTGAGTAGTCCTACTGAAGGACTGTGGGATGGCAATCAACCAAGGCATACACAGAAAAGACTTCTTGAAATCAATGGACAAGTCAGATCATGTCTTAGGCCCTGATTTTCCATTTTCAACAGGGCAACATTGTGGAGTTCTGTCAGGAAATAAGTAGTACAGTGGATTTTCCAAACCATCACCTCAAAACAAACTCTGATAAGGTGAAATGCCACCTGCTCTTACATCAACCGGCCTAGTTACTAAATTATTATTCTGCCTCTGCACACCTCTCCGTAACTTTACGGGTGAGACAGGTGACTAAACAGCTTTCTTAGTAGTGGGGCATCTTTTCTGTGAAACTACCTTTATCCACTTTGTAGCTTGATGGCTCCTAGGCACCAAATAGAAATGGGGATGTTTTAACGGTGAGCTTTAATTTCCAGAGAGGTAGCTGTCTTAGCCTCTTGCAGCAAAATCAACAAAGAGTAGCCTGGTACCTTAAAGACAAATCTGTTTCTTATAGCACAGCTTTCGTGGGCACTTCATCTGGTGGCTGAGGTGTGATCCTGAATTGCAGGTGCATATATACATGGTTTGGGGTGGGGATGGCATACAATAAGGTCAGAAGGAAAGGCAATGTAAAGAAGTACAGGTGCGGATTGCTGCTTTATTAACAGTGACTGTTCACACCAATTCTGACACTGGTAAGCTGAACATGTAGGAGATAATGTCTTGGCCACTGACTGGTAGGACCAGTGAGGCTTTACAATGCACCATGGCTGGACCCAGACCAGATTCTGGATCAGCTTAGCCCCTCCCTGCCTCCAAAATGTCCTGTTTCAGGGTCTTCTGCCAGCTGTTGCCAGTGGGCATCCCTTCAGAAGTCAGAAGAGGATGCTCTGTGCCAGGAAGAAGCCAGTTTAGCTAGCACAGCTGGGCAGAGGGACACCTCAATCCAATTCCACACACTCACCACACAAGGTAGATTTGGATTGCTCTGGGGGTATGATAAAACTGGATTATGCCAATTCAAGTTACAAGTGGCAGCACCTCGTGATGTATTGGAATTCAGTGGATTCACATTGCAATCTCCCTTTAAAGTTTTGTTCAATTGATGGCCACTTTCAGGTCAGTTACAGAGTGTCCTGGAAGGCTGAGCAGGACCTAATGTCCTCACCCACATGCTCAGGAGTTCATTTGCCTGCTCATTTCCAATGCAACCAGCCAACAATGCGCCACAAGGCAAACAGACCGTTCTGCATGCAAATGAATAAAAGAACACAAATTTGACATGAGAAACAGCAACACAGAAAAGCCAGTAGGAGAGCATTTCAAACCACGTTGAAATAAATGTGTCTTACTCCTAGTAAGTGACTTAAAATGATAGTTTTAAGCAACAAGCCCCTTTTCAAATCAAGGCTACAATCCTATACCAAACACTTACCGGGGGGTAAGTCCCATTGAGTTCAACAGGGCTTACTTCTGAGTAAATCTGTAGAGCAAGGGTGGGGAACCTCAGTGAAGTGTGGTCCTGTAGTACTCTGTTTAGTCCTTTAGTTGGAATCTCCTGCCTGGTCACTGCAAACGCAGGATGCTAGACTAGATGGGCTGCTGGCTGGATCCATCAATCCCTTCTTATGTCCTTGAATATTTTTGTCAGCCTGAAATGTGCCCTCAACCAATCCTCTTGCGTGTCTGGATGAAGAAGAATGGCGAGTAAGCCTGTGGAGCGGGTTCTCAAAGGGTAGGGGTGCACCACACTTGTGTGGCAGAAGAGGGTGGCAAGTGTGCCAGGGCTATCAAAGAAGCATCTAAACATCTCAGTGTAGTACAGCATAAAAATATTTTTTTTTAATTTGCAGAATATGGGTCAATCTCTTTTCAATCTAATTTGTCTGTCTCAGATTAGAGCTAATATAAATGAGAGTACCTGGTAAAAGCAAGCTCATGACTCTCACTGAGTTTGTATATACAGTACATACTTAAGGTACATATGTAAGAGGCTTGTTTATTATTATATTTTGGGAATCATTCAAGTTCTTATATAGTTGCATTATTTTACAATTTCTGGATGCCCCGTGATCATATTATAAAGTCATCTTGTTCTATGTTATAAATCAAGCACTGTTTGGAGTTGTTTCTTTTTGTTTTCCAATGCATTTCTCACCAATAAAAAAATTCAGTGTGCAGCAAGCAAATTTTTATTTTTACAGTGTGGCCCAGAGAAAAAAAAGCTTGAGGACCACTGCTGTGGAGAAACTAGTCTCCTGTACAAAAGGTGACCCTCCAAGTGTTCCTATTTTTCAGGGACAATCCCAGATTTACAGAAGCCATCTCAGTTCTGATTTGATCCTGGAATGTCCCGCTTTTCCTTAGGATGGCCGTTTTCATCAGAGAAATGTTGGCGGATATGGAGTTGTGCGACGCCTGAACCAAGGAGAAAAGTAACTGTGCAACCATTAGAAGACACCTGAAGGCAGCCCTGTGTAGGGCAGTTTCTGAATGTGTAATATTTTATTATCTTGTATATATGTTGAAAGCTGCCCAGAGTGGCTGAGGCAACCCAGTCAGATGGACAGGGTAAAATTATAATTTAGTAGTAGTAGTAGTTGTAGCAGGAACGCTTTTTAAAATAATAACAATTCTTTTGTCATGGGGGGCTGGAATGGATATACACCCAGTGCTTGAGCCAAAAAAACCACCTATATCTGTAATCAATAAAGTTGTGGTCCTTCCTAACCCAGGAGGACTCCCTTGCCCAGCGCCTGAGGGCCCCAGTCCTGCCACTCACTACCTGGCCCAGGGCGGGGCCTGCTCGGCTCCATAAAGGACTGCTGCCGCTGTTGCAGCAGCACAGAGAGGGCTCCTTTTTTATTTTTTACCTATGTCATTTAAAACTGTAATATTAATGCTGTATTCTTAGTTTTAGATTTTATGTGGAAATTGTTTTCCATTTGGTTGTGTATTTTTTTGATGTGGTTTATTTATTGTTTATGATTTTTATAATCTTGTCATGTTGTAAGCCGCCTTGAGCATGGTTTTTAACCGTGGAAAGGCGGCATACAAATAAAATGATGATGATGATTGTCTGCTTGAGTTTATTAATGACATTCTACATTTAGTTATTTTGGGGGTGGCGGGGTGGCGGCACTGTGACTGCAACAAACAAACTTCGTGGTGAGTTTCCCCACCTTTTTCAAACAAAAAAACCCCCCAGGGGTTATGATTATTATGGAAAAGAACGTGCCTATTTTCATCGGAGAAAAGTTGGAGGAGCTAGGGTTGCCATATTTCAAAAAGTGAATGGGGGGGGCAAAGTTGTGGAGCTTTTTAATGCAAAATCTAAAGTTTTCGAGGGAAATCCGCCAAAATCTAGACATCCGACGTGGGTTTCTACACGCCTCGCCGGGGAGTAGGAAGAGCACATGGCGGCGGCGGCGGCGGCGACTCCGCCGCTTCCCCGGCGCCTCCAGCCCGAGTCCCGGCGCTGCCGCCTCGCCGGAAGGAGCCTCCGTCGGGGCCCAGGCGAGCTGGGCGCTGAGTGGCGGCGGCGCGTCACGTGCGCGTCCCGGGCCGGTCTGCTGGCTCTCTTTCCCCGGCGCCGCCTCCTGCCTTTGCCCCCGGCCCGAGAGGCGGCGGTTCCCGGCGGCGGTTGCTCGGCGTCATGTCCCACCAGACCGGCATCCAAGGTACCGTCCCCCTTCTCGGGCAGCAGCACCCGCGGCTTCCCCTGGCGCCCCTCCCTTGGCGCTGGATCCTTCCCAATGAATGGCTCCCCGCCTCTCCCTCTCTCTGCCCTGCACGGAGATCGGGCCAAACTTCCGGCGTCTGAATGCAAAAGTAACTTGGAAGGAGCCGGTTCTCCCTTTCCACCCTCAACTTCATGGCATCCTAAAGCCGGTTCCTAAAGGGGAAGGGGGGCGCGGCGGCTCAGCCTCTGAGCGCGCGCAGAGTGCCTTTCACCGTCTCCAGATTTGTAGCGCGGCAGGAGGGTCCGATGGTCATCTAGCCCAACCCCCAGCACTGCAGGAATCTTGACCAACGTGGGATTCGAACCCGCGACCCTGAGACTACAGACTGAGCCACAGCCGTGATTCACCCCCCCCCCCACCCACTAGGGGAAGAGGGTCCAAGTCAATGGGTGTGGATTTCAGGCGGTCAAGTCTGAGTCCCAGCTTGTGCATGCACACGTTCCCTCTTTTAAGATACTCACCGCATGGGAGCAACTCCTGGGCCTGGTGTCGCTTCTCTCCCCCCCCCCCCAGGGGCTGCCCCCCCATAAGTGGATGGGCAGTGCCATTCAAATACGCCGCGTCTTGTGATGCATTACGCAGCCCACCCAATTTATCAGATTTAAGTTAGCATCCCTCATTCACCTTAGTTTTTTTTGTTTTGTTTTTTAATTGCTTATTTGCTGTGGACTCAAGTCCAAGGTCCGGGCGACTGAGTCTGATAGTTTGATCCAAAACTAAGGCGGCCTCTTTAGCTAAAAAAAATCAGAAGTCAACACACAAACACACAAGCCATCCTGCAAAGTGGAGTTTTTACCCAGTGCAACGTGCTGAGTTGCCCCCGAGGCGATGCTGGGGCGAGGGCGACGTGAGCAGATGTCCTCTTCCCGTTAAAGCCGGAGGGGGCGGAGCAGGCTGCCGCTGGCCTCCTTCGACCTGCACCTGCACGCAGAGTTGGCGACTGGCGTTGCAAGAGCCTGTGCTGCAAAGCGAGGAGCGACGGGGCTGCAAAGTTCTTCAACTCTCTCCTGCTTGCTTTGCGCTCCAGAATACCATATACAGAACAGGAATATATAAGAGCCTGGTCCAGCGTACAGTATATGCATGTGTCACACTGGAAGGAAAACCCACTGTGGGACTTAACTTCCCCCTAAGAGGAGCCTGATGCAAATCCCCTTGAAATCCCGTAATTCCTAACAGGATCAGGGAGTTCCCAGGTGGTGGTGGTGAGATCAAAGCATAACTGGGTGAGGTGGAGTTTGGATGCACAGGCAGAAAAATTCAGCAACTGCTGGTTATTAACTGCTGCAGCGTGGAGAGAAGCTTTGCCAGTTAAATTGCTCCTTTTTTAGATAGGGAAATTAAGTAGTGGCGGGGAGAATTAATGCCGTATAAACGTGCAAAAGAGACTAGTTGCATCTTTTGAAAGGCTATTGTGTATCGGTGTTCAAATTAAGACGTGTCATTTGGGCTGCGTGATTAGGATTAGGCATGGTTTTTAATGGGTCTTCTGAAAAAATTCCTTCGCTTCTTAGAATTTTCCTCAAAACATTCAAAAGGGGAGGACTTATCCATGGCCAAAGTGGCTTTGTGGAGCTGACACAATTCAGTGCTTTTGCTTTCCTTAGCCTAAGAAGGCAAAAGATCAATTTACAGCGGTTGTAGCTCAGTAACATTCACGTGACTCTTTTTGTATGTTAGTTCCTGTAGGAAAATGTTTCTAGGTTGCTATGCATGACTCATCTATTGATTGTCATAGCTGGGCAGTTGCATCTTTTGATATATATATATATATATATATATTAAAAAAAAAACCTAGGAAATTTGAAGTGATGGGTTGTGGCATCAGTAATTGAGACTGTAATCCTAACCCTATTTACCTGGGAATTTACTTCTCAATAGACATGGTTAAGATAGTGTTCGTCAGCAGCAATTCTGTGCTTGCTTACCTGGACACAATCCACAGCACACTAGAGAATAAACTGCACTGAAGATAGTGGGGTTTACTTCTGAGTAAGCATGCAAAGGATTGTACTGTAAGTATAATGTTGCATTGTTTGAAGTTCAGATGAACACTTAGTTTGTTGATCAACAAACTAGGCAGATACCACTTAGTTTGTTGATCAAAAGGATGCTTATTTTAAAAAATGAACAATATATTTTATTGGTTAAACCACTTGGTGTTAAAAAGAAATGTAACCTTTTAATTACATGGAGCTTTTCATCAGGAAAGTTAGTTTACTTGCAGGGATATCGGTAAAAATTGCTCATATTTGTGTAGGTCCCCTTGTGACCTTTGTTGATTTGTCTGTTTGATATAAAGTGTTCACCTGTTACCAATCTGCTGTGAATTGTAGATTTATCAGTGTCCACAGCCAATACGCTAAAAAAAAATACGCCAGAAAAACGTCATCCAAACACATCAGATATTGTGGTTAAAGCTTTAGGCTGAGAGTAACAGCATATGAAACAATGTAACTTTGTTGCATGGCAGCAAAAAAAAAATTCCAAAGGGAATTTAGGTGGCACAATTCCTTGCCTGAACCACTATCTTAATGAACACCTAATGAAGTCCACATTTCTTTGACTTGTATACCACTTTATACTTCAAGAGATCTCCTAAGAGGTTTACATATCTCGAGAAAAAAGTCAATATTTATGATAACCCACTCTTCTGCTGAATGCCCGTAAAGGTACATAGAACAGCTGAGAGCATTTCCTTTCAAACGTTTGCCAAAAAAAGAGTAATATAGATGATGCCCTTACTTTAACATTTCATAATGTTCAGCTGTGCTCTATTGTACCACTTTGTACAAAGTGAATGGGGTCAATCTTCTTTCCTTTTATATTTTTGCAGCTAGCGGCGAAGTCCAAGAAACCTTTGCTAGAGCCAGAAACGGACAATACAGGTTTTTGAAAATAGTTATCGAAAATGGTAAGTGGTTACTTTCCTAACCTTCGGTTTTCATTTACAAAGTTTCATTTACAAAGAAGCATCGCTTCCCATTTTGAATCATTTCTTGAACCAAGGGCTGCTTGTCAGTAAGATTTGCTTAAATGTTTGCCACCTTAATATTAATTTTGTGGTTAAATAAAATCATAAACATAATTAACAGTGTAAACCTATACATATCTACTCGGAAGCAATTCCCCCTGCGTTCAGTACGGCTTACTCCAAAGTAAGCGAGCATGGGATTGCAGGCTTAGAGTACTTTTTTACAGTGGTTCATGTAAGATTCATTGTTTTCTGGTAGGATCTTCCCGTCAGAGTCAAGGAAAACCAGCATTGACCAGTATTTCCCGGTATACTGGTTGCTTTGGGTTGTATCCAGTGCAAGTTCTACTCAGAGTAGATCCACTGAAATTAAGGACCACCTTAATTAAGGACCACTTACTCCTCTTACCTGAAAGAGGAGGGTCTGTAGCTTAGTGGTAGAAGATCTCAGGTTTAGCCCCCCCCCCCAATATCTCCAGGTCCAGGGCTGGGAGAGAACCCTACCTGAAATTCTGCAGAGCATCTCAGGTCAATACCACATAATAAAGAATCTGTATCCATATTGACAATATTATTGAGACCTTATAGGCCTGGTTTTTTCCAGCTGTCAATCTGAAGTTTGTTTCTTTGATGGGTAACCCTGGCTCAGAATTTAAAGTGCTTCCATGATTATGGTTATTATTTTTAAAAGTTTTATAATGTATCTCCAAGGATAAATGCTTGATTTCTTCTTCAATTCCTTGTATTAGTTCTCAATTTCTAAATGCAAAATTGCATTTCAAATATTTATTTTTTTTAAAAAAGATGAATATTCACATGTATTAGAGAAATATACAATCCTGGCCTTCTGTCTTTAGACACCTAACATTCCAGAGCAAAACGAGCCCTAGTAATTTTTTATGAAAAGATTAAACGTCTGCCTTCCTACCATTCTGTTAATCAAATGAATTACTCTTTGTATTACTTCTTTACCCTCTTGTACTTAAGCGTTTACTTAGTGTACATTCAGCAGATTTCAAAACAAAGTACAGTATCAGTTTTTGCCTGCCATGTACCAACTCTGTCTTCACAGAACAGCTGACTGTGGGATCAGCAAGACAAGCTGTTGGATCCTGGGAAGCGGATTATGATTCCTTTGTTCTCCCACTCCTTGAAGAGAAGCAGCCATGTTATATTCTTTATAGATTAGATTCTCAAAATGCCCAAGGATATGAGTGGATCTTTATTGCATGGTCACCAGACCATTCTCCTGTAAGTAATGGAATGAAATATCAAGTGACTTATAAACACAAGTTGAACTTCCAAGCCATGATTGACTGGTTTTTTGCTTTGTTTTTAAGCGAACTATTGACTTCCTTTTAATCCAGGGGTGGGCAACTTAAAAAACCCAACTGGTATCAAAGGTCAGCCAGCAATGTTGACCAAACTCTGTACAGCCATACCTTGGTTTGTGAACATCCAAGTTCTCGAACAAATCAGCTCCTGAACGTCGCAAACCTGGAAGTGACTGAACCTGAAACCTTCTGTGGCTGTAGTTTGCCATAGCAGAAAGCAAGGGCCAATGGTTTTAGACCTTTGAGGAGTCACTTTTGCCTGTAACATCCACTTATCTGGCTTCAAAGGCAAAACTCAATCTTCTCTTGGCAGGTTCGTCAGAAAATGTTGTATGCAGCTACCCGGGCAACCCTGAAGAAAGAATTCGGAGGCGGGCATATTAAAGATGAAGTGTTTGGAACCAACAAGGTGTGTATTCTGCAGAGGGATTTGCTTCTGAGTGACACCTCGGAAGCAATCTCTCTTCCATTTCTATGTGGCAACTGAAGTCCGCTAAGTCCTTTGCAGGCGTTATAGGCCCCTTGTAAGTAAGGGAGTAAGAAGCAGGGTTGTGCTCCAGAACTCTGCTCTCAGCATCATGCGCCCCCCTGACATAGTTAATAGAATTGTAGCATTGGAGGGGACCCTGAGGATCATCCAGTCCAACCCACTGCAAGGCAGGAATATGCAGCTGCCCCATACTGGGATCGAACCTGCAACCTTGGCGTTATCAGCACTATGCTCTAAGCAACTGAGCTATCAGTGTGTGCAGCATGGACGTCCATCAGGAAGGGGCCTTTGCATCTCTAGCTGTACATACAGCTGGTCACATTAAAGCCTCCTCCTTACAGATGTCTGTGCTGCGTGCAGGGACATCAGGAAAATAGTCTGTTGTGTTGGGACTAATCCGTAGCAGTGCCACTCCTATGTTCACAACAGGATAGCTTTAAAAGAGGATTAGATAGATTCATGGAGATCAATGTTATCAATAGCCTTGATGACTATGTTCTGCCACCACGGTCAGATGCATTCTGCATTGGAATGCCAGTTTCTGGGAACCGCAGGTGGGTAAAATGCTGCAAAATGCCTTCCTGCGGGCATCTGGTTGCCCACTGTGAAAACAGGATAATTAATAATAATAAATATTATAATAATAATTTTATACCCCACTCTCCCCGGCTCAGGGCGGCTAACACCAAATATAAATTACAATAAAGCATAATAGAAAAACAACAACCAGTTAATTAAAATACGGCTTAAAATACATCTTAAAATGCAGCCTCATTTTAGTAGTAGCCCATAAATCAAGACCATAAAGGGAGGAAACATAAGATATTCACCCGAGCCAGCTATCCATGCTGGTCCTACATGGGCCAGCAAAAAAGCCAAGGGAAAATTTATATACTAAATCCCATATAAGGGGTCAGAGTGAGTCCAAGCCGAAGGCCAGGCAGAACAGTTCCATCTTGCAGGCTCTGCGGAAAGATGTCAAATCCCGCAGGGCCCTGGTCTCTTGTGACAGAACATTCCACCAAGTCGGGGCCAGTGCTGAAAAGGCCCTGGCCCTAGTTGAGACCAATCTAACCTCCTTGAGGCTTCGGAGCTCCGAAGTGTTGTTATTTATGGACCTTAAGGTTGCCTTGGGGCATACCAGGAGAGGCGGTCCCGTAGGTACGAGGGTCATAGGCCGCATAGGGCTTTAAAGGTCAAAACCAGCACCTTAAACTTGACCCTGTACCTCACCGGGAGCCAGTACAGCTGGTAAAGCACTGGATGAATGTGGTCCCACGGTGAGGACCCCATAAGGAGTCTCGCTGTGGCATTCTGCACCCGCTGGAGTTTCTGGGTCAGCTTCAAGGGCAGCACCACGTAGAGCGAGTTACAATAATCAAGCGTGGAGGTGACCATTGCATGGATCACTGTGGCCAGTTCAGGGCAAGAAAGGTAAGGGAGTAACTGTTGCACTCAGTGGGTCCTTGGTCTAATCCAGCAGGCTTATCCCACATTCTTAACACAGGAGCCAAAGGGCCCGCATAGCGCTGTCATAAAGCTGTTCTTATATCCAGAAGATCCCAAGTTGGGAAGCTTCAGAGGAGAATTTGGAAACTTAGGGGAAACTGTTGGTTTTTTTGTGTTCGCAGGAGGATGTTTCGCTGAACGGTTACCGAAAGTACTTGGTAACTCAGTCCTCGCCTGCCCCTCTGACTGCAGCTGAAGAAGAACTTCGACAGATCAAGATTAACGAGGTATTGCACTTAGGCTTGGGAGCCAGGCATTTCTGCAATGCTGAAGCAAAGATAGAAGTGTATTGTAGGCCAAATTGTGAAATAGCTTCCGAGAGCCTACCAGGGTGGGTGGGGGCTGCTTCTAGTCCTAATTACCTTGTGCATAAACATCAGCACAAAGAATGCATCTCCCAGGTATGGCTTGGTTTTGAATATCTGTGACTGTTTATGCTTTGAGGGGAAGAATTTCTTCCAAGGCCTGCTATAAAACAGTAGCCACGAGCACTAATTTCAGGAATTAAAATTTGCCACACTATATCCTGCATACATTCGTTTAGTTGGTGAAGAAAGCAAAATGAGGATCTTACAGTAGCCCTGGAATCTCTGCTCCAAAAGTTTTTGTAAAAATGTTTTTCTGGTGTCTACCAGCCCACCCACTTATTATTCCACATAAATTCTTTGCATTGAAACAAATCCCCTATTTTTCTGTCTGACTCTCACACAGAAAGAGAGACAAACATTCCACTCTCCTGTGTGAGCCCTATTTGACACACTGCCGTTTCCTTTTTGTGAAGAAAACCCTCTCAAAGCCTCATTAAGAAATAAAGGTTTTGATGAGTACGGAACAGTTTAAAGTTCAAGATTTGAAATTTCTACCACGAGGATCCTCCTCCTCTTTTGCGTATGAATTTTCCAGAGGGCTCTACTTTGTGTGGAGTACAAACAGGGTTCTCTAAGCTGTCACCTTTTTCAAGCTGCTTTGCTCTCTTGTTTTTCCTTTCAGGTACAAACTGACGTCAGTGTTGACACTAAGCACCAGACTCTACAAGGTGTAGCATTCCCTATAGCTAAAGAAGCCCTTCAGGCGCTGGAAAAACTGAAAAACAAGCAGCTTAACTATGTGCAATTGGTGAGTAAGCAGTTTCATCCTTTGAAGGTAATCCTGAACATTGTAAGCGTACCGTTTTCTCATTGCCGTTTGTGGAAATAGAAAAGGGACTCTGTTCTTAAAATTCCACATCTTATTACAAGCTGGATTTCTTATTACAAGTCTGGGTGGCAGACAGTTTGCCTCAATGGGCCAGATCCTTATCAGGATCAAATTTCACCGGTGAGGGTCATTTTGCCATCACATGATTGACAGGTGGGCGGGGCTGCCCACCTGCCACAATTCCTCTTTGTGGGATTCCCACTTGGGAATCACATCGTGAGACCTATCGTCAACTCAATGCTGGGACTTTGGGAAGATCTGAGCATTGAGCGAGCAAATTGCTTCTCTCCTCCCTCCCATGGAAATGGAGGGGGCGGGGAAACAAGGCTGGAGTTTGCAACTGACAGCAGGGAGCTGGGCTCTTCCACTTTGCTGCTTTTGCATGCAAAATGTAGCTTTATTTCTCTCCTCCGCACCGTGTGACAGGGGCGAGAGAAAAAGCTGCGTTTTGCAAGCAAAAGCAGCAAAGCAGAGAAGCCCCACTACAGTGGTACCTCAGGTTAAGTACTTAATTCGTTCCGGAGGTCCGTACTTAACCTGAAACTGTTCTTAGCCTGAAGCACCACCTTAGCTAATGGGGCCTCTTGCTGCTGCCGCGCCGCCAGAGCACGATTTCTGTTCTCATCCTGAAGCAAAGTTCTTAACCTGAAGCACTATTTCTGGGTTAGCGGAGTCTGTAACCTGAAGCGTATGTAACCTGAGGTACCACTGTATTGCTGTCACTTCTAAACATCCACACCAAGCAGGTTCAGCCTCTCTTTTCATCAGCTGATTGGGAGGGGGAAGGTGGGCAATCCTGCTTAGTGCTGAGTTCAGTTGTGCAAGAAAGCTCTCCCTTCTCATCTGCTGAAGCCAGGGATAGAATCCCGCCTAGCTGTGGATTCCAAAAGTGCTATTTGAAGCATTCCCCCCTTCTTCTTTCAGTGAAGGAGTAGGTGGGTTGCTTCAGAGAATCATTGGGCCAAGATCCGCCCACAAGATTTCCCCCGCTCCTGCTCTAGTAGTATTTTGCTTGAATCAGAATGGCGTTTGCTACGCATCTTAATTCCAACCAATATTATGTGTGCTAACAGCAAATTGATATGAAAAATGAAACGATCGAACTGGCTAGTACACTCCCAACGGAGCTGAAGGACTTGCCGAAAAGAATTCCAAAGGACTCGGCGCGGTACCATTTTTTCCTCTACAAACATTCCCACGAAGGAGACTACTTGGAATCAATAGGTATGCAAGTATTTCTGTGTATGAACTTGATTAGGTCTTTATAGCAGCAAGATTGATTTAGGGGTTTTTTTCCAGCTTAGTATCCCATCCATATGTGTGTGTGTGTATGTATGTATGTATGTGTGTGTGTGTGTGTGTGTGTGTGTGTGTATATATATATATATATATATATATATATATATATATGGTCTTCCAGACTTAGAAAGGAAGTGCTTAATCATTCAACCTTTGCAACACATCTTATTAAAGGATTACATTTGGAATAATCTCTCACCACTTTAAACATTCTGCAGTTTTTATCTACTCCATGCCGGGATATATGTGCAGTATACGAGAACGGATGCTCTACTCTAGCTGCAAGAGTCCTCTTCTGGAAATTGTAGAAAGACAACTGTGGATGCAGATCATCAGAAAGGTAAGGGAGTTGCGTAATTTTTGTGCTGCGCCATCCCACAGATGTAGGTCCCTGTATGCTTGTTTTTCTCATTTATTTTTACCTGAGAGATGGATGGTACAGACAGTGCTGAGCGCTGTTGCAAAAAGACTGTGCATGTACAGAAGTGCAGGGGTTTGGAATGCAAATTTGGATGGCCTGCCAAATCTTGGGTTCCCCCATTTTTGGCATACCATTTCACCAGCAGGCTGGGCCTGCTCAGCTGTCAATGAACTGCCATCACTATGATGCAAGGCGATCCATTTTTCCTATGGATAACTAGATGCACCTATGTCCATTGATTTCAATAGACTTAGGTGTACCTAATCCTGCAGAGGATTGGACTGCATATTTTTTTTAATATTATCCTTTCTATTCTCTGTTAGCCAAGTTTAACCAATATAAAAAAACCACTAGTTAACTCTGATCCACCAATAGATGATTCTGCATGCTATTTCATACAGCGCCATCAGAGTACATGGTGCTTTATAGCCATGCAGGGGGGGAAATTCAATTATATTTTATTAAATTTCAACATTTTAAACATATACAGTCAAAACACAATTTTGTATTTTCTCTCATTTTTGTTGACTTCCCACCTCTTTTCCCAGTTGTTTCTTTACTTCTGCTGCACCCTATCTTCTATCTATCAAATAATAACCATAATATTATAATCTAAGTACTTTGGTTGCTCATAGCTCAAATCCTGCTTGCCAGTTCATCATACTATAATATTTCTTTAAATAGTCTGGAAAAAGCAACCATTCTTCATAAAACACTCAGCCATGCAGAGATGTTACACTGATGGTGACTCTCATGTGTTTCTTTGGATGAGAGTCATAAGGCGTATGAAACTGTCAGCAGTGCAGGAACCAAATCCTTTGCATTTATCCTTACGCTTCTTCTCCAAATCACTTAGATTGAAATCGGCGACGGGGAAGAGTTAACTGCCGACTTCCTTTATGAAGAAGTTCATCCCAAGCAACATGCACACAAGCAGAGTTTTGCAAAGCCGAAAGGACCTGCAGGCAAAAGGGGAATCCGAAGGCTGATCAGGGGCCCGGCAGAAGCCGAAACACCTACTGACTAAATGCAGCACTGGGAACAGAAGCATTATGGTGGGGGTTAGGGAACCCACCCTAGCCTTTAGAAATGAACTGAAAGCATTCCACACCCCTCTTTTTCCAGGAGAATAAGGTGACCTGTGATTTTTCGCTGCACTTGAGACGCCACCTTAGATGTTACAAGGTCCACAGCCTGTGGTTGTAATGAATTGGGTTAAACTAAAACTAGAAGCTTGTATAAGGTTAATTCTAATACGAATTAATATCATAGCCTTACAGTTCAACACTACTCTATATGTAACATATATAGGTCTGAAGTCAGTTTAGTGACAACATAAAATGGATCATTAGCTAGATATTGAATTTTTCTCTCTCGCATTATCTACTTTTTAGGGGGCTGCTGCTTTAGAATAAAAATTGGCAGGACTGGGCCCTGTTTTTCTCCATTGTACTTCCCCTGTCCTTCTACAAACTAACAGTGCAATATTTTATTCCACTGTTTTCATACCATGATCCTAAACATTTATTTGGAAGCAAGTTCCGTGGAGATCCATGGGCCTTTATTCCAACTAGAGGTTTAAGATCTGGCTGCCGCAAAACTGAAACCTGACTCATTTGATACAGGGACCCAAAATTATATTCTTTGTAGCCTTCTAACAATACATTTCTGGTCTTCTGAGAGAATAACACTATTATTTTTTTTTACATAAATAATGTTTGGCAATAAGGTTAAGCACTACATGTTTGAAAAATGCGATTCTGTAAGCAACACCAAGTGCTATGAAATAAGTTTTCACCATCCAAATCATTCTGACCTAATTAAATTATGAAAGCTGCTGTGATGTGATTGACTTTCAGTTCTGGCCCGGTTCACAAGCAAACCATTAAGCCTATCCTCATGTGTTTCTTGTATCTAAGTAAAGATGTTCTCCAGGCAACAGGTATGAAATAATAAAATGGTTGTAGTTTGAGACAAACTAATATGTTTAGGTTGAGGAAGCAAGCCTTTCCCAGCTGATTTAATGCAATCGGATTAAGCAAAAACTATCTGTTTCTGTTGAACAACAGCCACAGCTGATGCAAACCAAGAACAACTGCTTCCCAGTAAGTGAACAGTTAAAGTACACATATGGTCACCATCCCAGCTTTCTACGTTAAATAATCTGCGCTTCTTACTGAGGTCCCCAAATGTTTATCTCCTAGCCATTTTTAGCAGTTTGTTTTGGAAGTAAATTCTATTGAATTCACTAGGGCTTTATGTAACCGACGTTCCCTGTCTTAGTTGGTCTTTCTTAACCTTCAGATCACTAAACTGCTTCCGGGGCTTTTTGTCTCTCCCTCCCAGTATAAATGGTAGGCGAGAGCTTGTTGTAAAGGAAACAATTTGTTTAAATTTAAAAGGTTGCTGAAAAGAAAGCGTTTCACCTTTCCATGGAACTTTCGCAGATCACTGTTAATCACAAACGTTTGGCTCTCTTGTAATGTCAGCATATTAATGCCGCTCTGCTGTGATCATGGCTAAACACTTCCTTACTGGAATAACAAAAGGACTGAGTTGTAAGCTAATTTGGATGGCAACCTGCCATCACTGCTGTAGATCAAGAATGGTGCTGCTGGGGTATCTCTGACCTATAGCCAAGAATGGTATCCCTGACCTATAGCCAAGCTGTATGGGGCTGAAGGGCGTTGGAATCCAATGAAATCTAGAGGACCACAGATTCCCCATCCCTGCTGTAGGTTGTCCCAGGTTCAGTGCAGGAATAGCCCACCAGATGTTGGGACTCCAACTCCTACCAGCCCCAGCCAACCTGACCAATAGTGAGAGATGATGGGGAACTGTACTCCAACAACACATGGAGCGTGCCATGTTGGTTACTCCCTGAAATGAAGACACTGCATTTTACTTCAGTTCTGCTGGGGGAATAGTTCCCTCTTTACAGTAGCAGCATAGCTTGCTTCTTCCAAAACGCTCCAATAAATTTGAACCCAGGGGAGCTGGTGGAAGGACTTCAGAACTTCACTTCCTGTCCTAAAATGGCATTGGCTGGAACGATGAGATTGCAGCTATGCTCTTTCGGCAACATGGAACTGCGGCAAATGAAAAACGGCATAGGCTCCTTGGTTTAAAACAGAATGGGAAAAACCCCGAAATGTGCCTTCTATTGCATATTTTAACACATGCATCACTAGACAGTTTTGCATAGTGAATTGCTGCAGATTAAGCAGACATATTTTAACTGCATAACTATTGCTAATCTTTTCCATGGAACAAATGGTGTACAAAGGAGATGATTTGTAACTGAGCGTCCCACGTCGAACCCTAATACTTTTGTCTTTTGCAGCCCATGACAAATAGCACATTGTTCTTAGTTCTTATCTTCTCAAGATAAGCAGGCGTTGGCATTCGTGCACCAAGGAAACTGCTGTAGAAGGGTAATTCAAGGAATCTAAGAGGCTGTTTTAGCTGGAGCATGGAGTGCATGAAATGTGGCTGCAGTTAACCATTAGGGATACGTTATTCTGAAAATAGCCAAGTGTTTTATCACTGGGGTGGGTCAAACTGCAAAGGTCAGGTGACTGCACGATATGATAGGGGTCGGGTGAGGGCCTTTCCTCTTTCCTGTCACTGACAGTGGAACAAAGAGAACTGCTTTCCAAGCACATCATTTCAGTGGATCCTGACTACTGAAAAGGATCATCTCTTTGCCCTCGCCCCGAAAATCCACACCAGTGCCACTTCATGCAGGACTTCTGCCAGGTCTAAATGGGCCCAGATTCCCCACTGCTGCACTACCCCTTGTGACGTGTGTTCTAGGCTAGTCCAGCGATGAAAAAAACTCACCTTCCTCTCTGGCCCCAAATACATTATCATCATTTATTAAACTTGTATACCACCCTTCATCTGTAGATCCCAGGGCAGTGCACAGCACAGAAATACAAGACAAAAATACACAACAAAAACAAGAAAAAAACCAAAACAATAACTCCCCAATCTTCCCTCCCCCAAGCACATTTAAAAGGATAGAGGATGTTAGTTGGCCAAAGACCTGGATAAAAAGGAATGTTTCTGCCTGGCATCTAAAGGTGTATAACGAAGGCAACAGGCAAACCTCCTTGGGGAGAGCATTCCACAAACAGGAAGCCACTGCAGAGAAGGCCAGTTCTTGTGTTGCCACCCTCTGGACCTCTTGTGAAGGAGGCACATGAAGAAGGGCCTCGGAAGATGATCTCAGGGTCCAGGTAGGTTCATATGGAGAGTGTCGTTCCTTGAGGTCTTGCAGTTCTGTTTATGAGGTTTCTGCTCTTCTCTGTGCTGTTCTCCACTGCCTGCATGTATTTACAAAGGCACGAGAAGTGCATCATTTCACCCACTGCAATGTTGAGTTTCTGCCCTGTAATTTCTCACCTGATGTATCTTCAGAAGTGGGGTTATAGGCAGACACACCATCATGCTATAATCAATGAGTCGCCAGACCAAAATAAAATCTACTAGGAAAGCATGCCAGGGATGAAATTTATTCTACACTGATCAACCCTGAGTGTCTGTTAATTAAATATTAACATACTAGGAGATGGGCAGTGAATATATTAGAAAAATTTAGCAAAATAATTTATGAAAAAAACTTGCTTTGAAAAAGATATATGCAGTTAGACTAATGTACTGAATAAACTGATTTTGATTATAGGTACTTATGTTCATCTTTTAGATGTTATCTTCTGGCTGAATAAATGAATTCTTTCATCACCTACTTTGAATTTATAAAGGCTCTTGAGTCATTGTCTCATGAATATACTGTATCTCAAAGTCATCATATGCATTAAGTAGAAACAAGAACTGAAAAAGAAAATACAGGAACTGAAAAGGAAAATACAATGTCCATGGCGTATTTGGTGTCTTCCATCTTAGAAAAGGGTAGCAGAGTTGTTTGACAGCACAAAATGGTTGTTTGATAGTCCAAGTTGATGTGCCATCATAAGTAGGATTGATTCTCTAGCACTCTTCAGAAGGCACAATGGTGCAAAGAAGAAGAAGAAGAAGAAAAAGAGGGCAATTCACATACTCTGCGGTTATCTTTGTATGCCTATGTGGCTTTATGCTGGCAAAAATACAATGGCGGAACAGGTTCAGAGTTTCATGGTTCCCATGAGAACTGCGAAATATACTTCTTGAAAAAGATTGGCTTTGGCTTCATGAGCCAACAGAGCCATTTAGGCCACAGCTGGAGCACGTAATTTGGCAAGGAGCTTAGCACTTCCTGAATATTAGCATAGCCTTTTCAAAAACATCTTTTAGACCATGAATTTGGTATAGCCTGCACGCTTGCAAGCCTGGTAAAAATCCCCGAATCAGAAGCACAGGTATATACATATCTGGATTGTTCATAGCAGACATGTATCATTGCCATTTCCTCCACTTAGCAAGGTTGGCAAAGGCTCAAGCACATTTATGCAGCTTACAAAATGGATTTTTCACCTGGCACAGGATGCTGAGTGTGTTGGACCATGCAGTCCTAGCTCTCGCTAAACTGTTGCTCTAGGCACCCCTGTTTCACTTGCTTTTATATGGCTTGAGCTATGCGAACGGCAGCCTCATTAGCTGCTGCTTTTTTCCACAGGAGAACAGCTTAGAGATCTACTTGCCCGCGCTACAGGCAGCTTTTGCTTATTCTGTTTCATCTCACCAAGTTTGCTTTGCTCCCTTTTAAAGTCAGACTGCAATTACCATTGGTAGAACTGCTAAAAATGGCCTCGTTTCTGCATCTGGCACAAATCGGAATAAGTTGCCCAATTAAAACCATCAGCAATTGTTTTTATATAGTTTGAAAGTGGGGACAGGGAAGCTACAGTACCATCCCAGCATTGAGCTGTTTGACCATCCCAGCTGTTCATTTTTATTATTAGTTGTTTGCATGTGTTAAGCTATTATTTCAGAAATCAATTACAGAAGCAGCAAGTATACCCAATTCCTCTTTGATTCCATTTACTTTTGATTAGGCACACTGGCAAGTCCGGAAGATGGGCTCCAGCAGCTATAGTTTTCAAGATGGGGGGGGGGGGGGATAATCAAGATTGTCAAGTCGGCTGCAGACAACTTTCTTAAGCAGTTTAGTCAAATAGATGCCAACAGGAAACCATAAACTGCTAGTGTGGATTTGCATGCAATAGTGCAGCTCTTGCACCTTCTTGTTATTGGAATGTCACACACGAGCTTAGAACAAGGTGGATCAGAAAGCTGCTCATACAGAAACATTTCAGATTTGTAGCAGAGATGCTTAAGGAATGTATCGACTCCTGGATTTCTGCTATGGGGTATGGCCACTGAGTGAGAAGGAGCCAAACCTACAGTGGTGTTCTCCAAGCTGCAGGCAGGCAGAATTGAGGGCGATAAGTTTGCAAGGACAACAGCATACACATAAGGTTGTCAAAAAGGTGTCCCTCTTGTACAGTCCAAGATCCATGACAAAGTAACCGGGCCTCAAAACAATATTCCCTTTTTAAAGAAGTCTATGAAATTGTAAGCAACGGCACAGGAATACAAATGTAAAATTAGCATCTAAGTCCATTTGCCCCCTTATCAGGTCGGCGGCTTTGCAGGCAGGCCCTGGAAAACCGGCCTATCGCAGGCCAGATTGCATCCCTGCCAAATGGACCAATGGCGGTAAGTGTTAATGGGCGTTCCCCTGGGCATGGGACCAACCAACCAATCGTGGCCCTTTGTGCTGCGCCCAGGGGAAGTTTAAACGTCTGGCTGGTGGGGCCTTTCAGCCTTTCTCTTGCCGCGCCGGTCCTTCCACCCACCCTCCCTCCCTCAAGATTAGGGTTTTTCAGGGATGGTTCAACCTTGCTATGGACAATATCGGTGGCCTAATTTTCAAGGGCCGGGCAGGAATTTCCCGCACTTAGCTAACTGGCCTCACCATTTGGGTTTTCGCCTACCTCCTAGGAAGCATCACAAATTCGTAAGGCGGATAGGCATTGGGTAAACCTAGTATTGGTTGGAGGGGAGGCTGTAGCCTCTGCCTACCCCTCCACAGGTAAGCGTATCCTGTTAAAAGGATCCAGGAAGAGTGGCTCCTGCCCAATGCCCAGGCTGGGGTGAGGGTCATACCACTCCTCCAATGAGAACCACTTGGGGGACACCCAATTTGACGTAGGTCTTAGGGCATCCCCGGCTTCACCCTTAGAAACACTCCCAGCGGGTGGGAGTGACGTGCAGTTGCTTATCCCAATGCCTATGGACAAAACTCACATCTGTAACCAATAAAGTTGTGGCCTTATTTGATCCCAAACCAATATCCTGTGTTGAGTCTAGTTTTTTACACCTTAGGGAACAGGGTGGTCACAAGGCCTCAGTACGTCAATGGACTTGCTTTTAAGTCACAGCACAGGAGAGACCTTACTCAGCCAGCAGGTCTTGCAAGTGTTGTCTGACCTGCAAGGGAAGCAGAAATATAAATTCACACTCGCCAAATGTAAACACACTCTCAAAAGCCATACAAGGGACAAGAGCATAAAAATATCCTGGTACCGTCTTACTATCTGGTCTCCTGTTCTTTTTTTCGTGCAGACACTGGCATGCAACTGAATACATCTGTTCAATGGATGCAATATTCCAGCTGCTCATCTTTTCATCAACATAATCCTGAATCGTCTTTTCTTCATCTTCAATTTCCTCTTTGATAGACAGCTGTTTGGAAGCAGAAATAGCGTCAGAGGAAGAGCAGGACTATGAAGGCAGGGAGGGAAGATAAGCCCAAGGAGGCGGAAACAAAAAGTCCCTAACCCTGCCACATTCACACAAGCCAAGACAGAAAGAGAGGGTAGTCACTTTTTATGCCCCCCCCAACCCATATCAATGGTTTCTCTTTATATACTTCTCCTTCCATCAGTTTGATCTGAATGCTGCCCACATTCTGTAACAAACTCTGGCTTGTTGTCCTGTTGCTTAATCCCTCTCCTGGAAAAAAACAAGTGTTTTGCCTTAGTGCAACATGACTTTAGTTAAAGAGATCCCAACATGTAGTCCTTGGCCCTAGTTGCATGCTCATGCAGACGTTGTAGTAACACACTTGAATTACAACAAGACAATGGTGGTAGATTCACTGACATTCTAGTCAATGCCAACTCCTGCCAGAATTCTTCTTTTAACCTAAGTCATGGTCTTTTGATGCTGTAGACTCTTCAACAGGCTTGACGCAGCAGCTAACTTCTAGTTTGCTGAAAAATGCAATGTGTATTTGTTCTAAACGTATTTCTAGAAGAAGAAATTACCAATAATTGGGGGTCCCGGTTTTCGTCCACAGGAGTAAGTCCAGTTATTATTTCAAGTAACACCTAAAAGAAAGATAATCAGAAAACAAGAACAAAAAAAAAACTGAAATGCACGTCGTGAACTACTATCAGAAACCAGTGCACAGAACCACTCAATGAAAAACCTTGTGTAAGGAAAGGTTTTAAAAGAAAGGGTTGTTATGCCTTCCTTCAACAATTGATCCCAAGGCAGCTGGTACTCCCTTTGCTGAACCCGCCTATTATCAGACTACTAGCCTTGCACATATTAATAGCACTACTCTCATATATATTAGCTTCCGAATAACTTTTCGGTGTTTTTTCACTCACCACACCAAAGCTGAAGATATCAGATTTCGGGGTTATCTCCCCACGCAAAGCTTCTGGGGCCATGTAGGCTGCTGTTCCCACTATTCTGTCTGTTAGGATAGTGTGCGTCAACCTTACTGAAGCCCTTGCAAGTCCGAAGTCAGACAGTTTCGCCACAAAGTTCTCAGTAAGTAAGATATTTGCACTGAAAAACATAAACAAAAAAAGGGGACGGAATTCTGTCAGGTTCTTCAACACTCCTTCTCAAGGAGATGGTGCTGCAATAATCAAATGAAAAGTAAGGCGGGAGCTGTATTTTTAGCTAACGCTGCAGGTTTCATTGTTATTCCATGCTTGTAGTTTGAGGGATAAAAGAGAATTATGGCCACATCCAAAACTCTCTTCTCTACTAAACAATCACACACCCAGCAACAATTATTTTGCAAATATATTGCCCAGAACGTTATTGGGCTCCGACTACCAACCCTGGATGAGATCTTCACGTCTCGCATCTTGAAGAAGTCACATAATATTCTGAGAGATCCCACCCACCCTGCTCACAACTTCTTTGAACTATTGCCTTCGGGCAGAAGATATAGGACAATGAAAACACGAACCACACGCCTTCTGAATAGTTTCTATCCAAGAGCTCTGATTGCACTAAATAATGATCTCAGGGCCAGTTGCAAGGTTTAGTAAGTAGGGAGTGGAAGGAATGAGATAGGTTTTAGGTTATGTTATGTTTTTAATAGGTCATGCTATATTCTGGATTATGTTATGTTTTATAGATTATGTCTAAATAGGATGAGAGTTCGGAGATACGTGCAAATGTATATGTGAACCCGGTCTTTGGGTGGGTGTTTGATTTTCGTTGTTGTGTATACTGTGTATATACGGACAATGACAATAAATTTAAATTTATCTAAATTTTATCTAAAATTTATCTTTACACTGTTGCCTTCTTCTATTCAGTGTCAAGAAAAACGTAGAACATAAATATTGCCCTTTCTGCAAATCACCATAATATATATTTTTTTTAATTTAAAAAGCATGTTTGAGGAATACTGACAAAACAAAGATGGAACTATCTCTCCTTAGTGCAATAATTAGTTTTTTAGATTTTACCTTTTAACATCCCGGTGAATGTGGTTATTTTCATGTAAAAAACAGATTCCATTGGATGCCCCATAAGCAATCTTACATCTTGTTTTCCAAGGAATTGGTGCCGTGTTATCCTTAAAAACAAGTGGAAGTGAGTCAATATTTCTAGGCAGAGAAGCCTAGAATATCGAAGTGTCGAAGCAATGATTCTTCAGCTTCGCTGGACTGGTCGTGTTATGTGGATGCCTGATTATCGCCTTCCAAAGCAACTACTCTATTCTGAACTTAGAAATGGCAAGCGTAATGCTGGTGGTCAACAAAAGAGGTTCAAAAACTGTCTCAAGGCAAATCTTTAAAAATGTAGTATAAACATCGACAATTGAGAAACACTGGCCTGCAAGAGCTCCAATTGGAGAACAGCCTTTACCAAAGGTGGCATGGGTTTTGAAGACGCTCAAACTCAGGATGAAAGGGAGAAACGTGCTACGAGGAAGGCACAGTTTATACTGTCTACAAAGCTTCTGTCTACAAAGGCTGCCCTTGCCACTGTATTAAAAGGTAGCTCTGTACACACATATCTTTGCACATTCAGAGCTATGCTTCATCATAATCAATAGGAGAGGCCTGCAAGGGAAAGAGGTCCTTGTGATCAGATACTTCACATCTACAATAGATTCCAGATATTTCAGTTTCCCCCTCTCAGTTTAGCAGTTTCAAAGAGGCATCGACAATAAGCAAGTATTTCACTTACCAGGCAAGCTAGTCTGTCAAGCAATGAGCCATTAGGCATATAATCATAAACCAGGCAAGGCTGATCAGAGTCATTTGAGAATCCAAGCAATTCTACTAGGTTCTCGTGCTGACATCTGTGACAAAAACAAACAAACGGCCTTTTTAGTCTGGGTTTTCGTATTTACTGTTCTGAAAGGTTAGGAATTAGAGGGCTCCAATGAACCTAGACATAATCTTGATCAACGATCTCAGTAACACAAACTATATAAGTTTATTTGATGCCAATAGTTTGCTTTCATGCACAATTCAGTGGCAGAGAACATGCATGCAAAAGCTTCTGGGTTCGATCCTTGGAATTTCCACATAGGGATGGGGAAAATTCCTTTCCAAAATCCTGGAGGGCCACTGCCAAGCAGTGCTCAAAATAGTGAGGATCAAAGTATACGAGGCGCTATGCACATCTTTAACCCCAGCATGCATTATTATTTTTTCTGTAAAATAAGCAGTCAGAACTGGGGAATGGTGGGGAGCTGGATCTTGTGCTAAGATTTTGGTTGTGGTTGTATAGAGGGGGGAAACTGCTCACAACTTACTCTGCCATAATGCTGATTTCTTGTTCGAACTGCTTTTTCAGGTCTTCGATACTTACATCGGTCACCTATAATGACATTTAAAATAAATAAATTATTGGGACACTCAGAAGCTGAAGGGAGGGAGGTTAATGGGAAGCAGACCAGTTCTAGGCCAACCACGTAATGAAAGGTTTGTACTTAACAGTGGCAAACAGGGTGGTTTCCAGAGCCAGGCCCTCAAGGTTTTCTGTATCTTCCAGGTATTGCTCAGAGATATTCAATGAGGTGCATCAATAGAAATACAGCAGTAGGGAAAGCTAGCTCTGAGCCCTTGAAACCCAACTGCAAGTGAACTCATTAGCATCTTTGTTAACAAGCAGCCCAGAAGCTAACTGACTGGTGGGAGAATTCCACAAGCAAGGAGCCACAACAGGGGAAAAATACACAAGCAATCTCTTCACCCTCAAGGATCTACAGTTTGCTGGGAGCTATTGCACCATCACTTTTAAGCAATATTTATTATTCTATTTCTATCTCACACCTTCCTCCCAAATGAGCCCAGGGCACCAAGGGGCCAAAGAAGAAAAGAAAAATACTCTAGGGTGCAAGGGATAACAAGAAGTTTACATGAAGGGGCATGTTTAGACTGCATATGAGTAAGCCCCACTGAATTTAATAGGGCTTGCTTGTGAGTAGGATTTCACAGTAAAATATGCATTTTTTGTAATAAATCTGATAAAGAATAATAAGATTAAAAGCACCAAAATTTGCAATACTTCCTCTGCTCTGCTCTTAAATGTTATATGATAGACGTGTGTCCATTCTGGCTGTCACTTGTGGCACACCATTTCCCCAAACTATATGAAGCGAGATATATAGGGTGTCTCAACGCATGGTTTTCTGGCCATTTTCATGCCTCAATTTCGCTTACACTTTGAGAGAGAGAGAGAGAAAAGATAATTCACAGTGCAAATGATGATATACATACTAACAGGAAACCTACAGAAGTAAGTTTTTTCACTGCCACTGTTCTGCCATTAATGCATCCTTTGTACACCACTCCAAAACCTCCTTCGCCAATCTTGTTGCCACCAGCCGACACAGTTCGATCATCAAAGTTATTTGTAAGACTTTTCAGTTTATCAAATGAAAAGCTCTGCAATACTGAAAGAGAAGAAGCATGAGTGGAGATCTCAAATTCAATTTTTTTATTGGGGTGGGGACCCAGAAGGGTTTTTGTTTTTTTAAAAAAGATTTCAAATCCCAGCACCACAAATCTTGCCATGATTTATTTACCTCACAGAGATTTGTCTTTCCTTTTCAGGAGATGCCAGCAAAAGGTGGAGAGAAAGCAAGATGAAGATCAGTTAGCTATTCTTATGCAAGGCTGTATAAGTCAAAGGAGAGCAATCTGTGACTCAGGGCTTCAGGAAACGCTCAGCCTGGTTTCACACAGGTAAGAACAAGGGAGAAATATGGGACAAAGAGAGTAGCAGAGCACAGGTGCCCCACCTGCTATCAGCATGCAGCCCCAAACAGATTAGCCCCAGGGATATGTGCTCCTCAATAGAAAAACAGTTTTCTACCCCTGAAAAAGTCTATAAGCAGTGACCAGAGTTTTCTGGAAGTTTTTCATTTTTGCTTTAATTGGAAACTCTTCTGCTCACATTGGAACAATTTCTGATGCCCCAGAAAGTGATCGAGTTTAATGTGTTTGTTTTACTTGTATTTAGTAAACAAAAGATAAACACCTGAAAACTGCCATGCTTGCCAAATACTGAATTTGCAACTCGCTTCTGCTTGCTGCTTCTAATTTGCTTCTGAAACAAAAACTTTTCCATGGGGGGGGGAGCGATTTGCCACCTGACCTCACTGGCCATGAGTAAAGATATCTTTAAGCAAATAGGTTGGTTAGCAAAGGAAGATGGGGGGGGGGGGGAGAAACATTCCAACATTTTATTTCAGAATGGAAATTTGGCATATTTTGAAAACAGGTTGCTTAAAACAATGCTATAGTAGTTGTTATAACGTTAAGACCCAGCAGGTAAAGAGACCACTTGCCCCTCCTCCCTGGAACTGCCTAGGAGGCAATCATCTTGAGTAAACAACTCTGGATTTATATAACCTGCTAGTCTGTTAGGGTTGCCATATTTACTTACTTCACCAAACCTTTATTTGGTTTATATAGGCCACCATAAAACGTCCATGTATAAAATTTTACATACAAAAACAACCATGTAAAATATGCAATAACGAGGATTTTCATTGGAGTTTCTTTCTGCTAAATAGTGCCATTCACCACTCTAAGAGATACTATTGACAAAAACTCAGCCACCCTTGCAGTTACTTCCGGGTTAATGTCAGACAGAATCTGATATTTTCATTGTCCTGTGATATTAAGTCTACCCAAAAAGGGGGATGGCATGTGTTTGCATAACTGGTTGTACAATGGACAGCAGTAAAGAATGTTTTACAGTTTCTGGCACATTCAAAGAACTTCCACAATGTCTATCGTTTCTGGGGATGTTTAAATATCTATCCTTGACAAAAGGTGAGGAAAAAACATTCAGTCGGGCTAACATAAAGTCCCTGCATGGGACTGGAATTATTAATTTTGAAATATAAGTGACCCTGTTATCTGTTGTATTTAAACCATAGAACTTGAGGGAGCAAATTTTATTTACAGCTAACTTGTTGTTTTATTCTTCACTGTCCCTTAATCTGGTTTAAATATTGGTTGCCATATTTCAAAAAGAGAAACTCTGGACACAATAGTTGCTGTGCTTTATTTTGAAGGTTTTTTGGGAGCTATTTTTAAGGAAATTCACCAAAATCTACACTTCCGACATGGGTTGCCATACGTCCGGATTTTCCCAAACATTCCAGTGATTTCTGCCAGGACACTGTTTCCAGCCAAATCCTGGCTATGTCTGGGAAATTCTGGTCATATGGCAACCCTAATCTCCACCTCAGATATGCATGTGGTTGATATTACTTCCCCTAATATCATGTTCAGGGACGCGGGTGGCACTGTGGGTTAAACCACAGAGCCTAGGACTTGCCGATCAGAAGGTCGGCGGTTCGAATCCCCGTGACGGGGTGAGCTCCCGTTGCTCGGTCCCTGCTCCTGCCAACCTAGCAGTTTGAAAGCACATCAAGTGGAAGTAGATAAATAGGTACCACTCCAGCGGGAAGGTAAACGGTGTTTTCGTGCGCTGCTCTGGTTCACCAGAAACGGCTTAGTCATGCTGGCCACATGACCTGGAAGCTGTACGCTGGCTCCCTCGGCCAATAAAGCAAGATGAGCGTCGCAACCCCAGAGTCGGCCACGACTGGACCTAATGGTCAGGGGTCCCTTTAATATCATGTTCTACAATACATAATGGACTGGACTGAAAGGCAGGAGGGGAGTGATAGAAGGAATAATTGCCTACCTGAATCATTAAGAGGCAAGCAACTCTCTTTTGTACTTGGGCTGCAAGAAACTGAAGTTAGGCTCCCTTTATCTGGAACCAAGAGAGGCAATACAGGTGTCACTTGATTTTCTTTTTCATTCAAACACGTAGTTTCTTGTAAAGATAAGGGCACTGTAGTGTCTGTTGTCCTCATGGAATCTGCCAAAAAATAGAAAACAGTCAAAACAGGTTTTAGGTGGGAAACAGGTTGCCGAAAGCTGTTCTGTACCAACAAACAGAATAGTCATGGCTTAATAGTGCACTGGACTCTGTCTTCAGAGTCCAGTCTTAAGGTTGCATCTAATCACACTTTGGGGCACAGAGACATCACCAAAAACAACACAGAATCCAATTTCTGTATCAGTTTTGGAATAGTAAGGAAGGCAATGCACCATGTGCCAGCTTCACCTGCAGCAATAATGTTGTGCATCAATATAAAGTGCCTTCCCTTGTGGTGGTTGCCCGTGTGAAACAATCTAGGGTTATGCCAATATGTAAAAACTTGGAATATCCCAGAAAAACCTTGCATTTCAGGAGCACAAGGATACTAAGTTTTTGTGGCATGATTCAGCATATTTTAGAATGCCTTTCAGGGCCCAGTCATCACAATTTGGCTTGCATGATATAAATAAGTGGGATATATGTTTGTCAGATTTTTAATAGTTTTCTGGTGGTGCTACATATCCATAGCTCCAACTCTGTTTCTGGTGTGGCTACAGGCCTACTTGGATTTCTACCAGAGTTCCTCCTGACCCAAGTTGAAGATCCTTTTCAGAAAAGAGGAGTGCTTTATACGTCTTTCTCGGCTATTAACCAAATTAAGGATTTCACAAATGGCTACATGAAAAGATGCTCACCTGAAAGACAATTATTAAAAGCCACCATCTAAAAGACATAAGAACACCACCATACCTCCCCTTTGAATACATGCCAGAGACACCGTGAAGACCAAAATTACCTGGAAGCAAAAGTTTGGCTGGTGCGAAGAAGTGATTCCTGATTAGCAAGTCTACTAGATCACTAACAGTGCAATTTTGTGTCCCCCAGTCAAAAAGCAATTCACAAGTGGGGCTCTTTCCTACTTGTTTTAATGCTTCGAAACGCCTTTTTAAAAAAGAAGAGAAAAATCAAATTAATTTTGAAAAAAAGATTGCAAAAAATGATACACAGAATATTAATTTTTAGCCACAAAGTTCAAAAGCTAATATGTCAACAGCAATGTAGCTTGCATGATATATTTCACTTCAAATATGGCTTTGGTGCAAGCTTATGATAGATAGCTGGATAGCTCAGTTGATAGACACATTAGTGCATGAAGAGCTGGATGCTCTAACATCCAAAAGGATGTCTGACAGTATATGGGATGAACAGGGCCACCACATTAAGAACTCAGCTATGACTGCAACGAAAAACTCTAACTACAGTGAGGGTGCTGGCCATAAAAGATGGTGGTTACATGCTCCATCAAGTAAGCTGTCAAAGTTATTGGGTTGAAGCTATACAAATAACATATACCAAGTATCAGTTTAAGATGTGATGCAATAATGATGCTAAATTGTAGCAAAAGATATATGAAACAAAGAATGCAAAAACTTGATGGGAAATATTTCAACAGCAGCTAGAATTGTTATTCTTCAATGCCAGAAGTATCTATCAATCCTAACTACCAGAGAATGGTTCCTTAAAGTATTAGATATTGCATACATGGACAGATTAATATGGTTGTTTTCTGTAGCTATATTAATCTGTCCTTATGTGGAATATCTAATATTTTTTAAGGAGTTGGAACAAGCTACACAAATGGAGCTTTCCCTCCCTAAAATGGTCCTCTTGGTAGACACTTGAATCAATTTCTGGTGGGTTATAAAACCTATATATGTCAACAGCAAAGCGTGCAATATCACATATTAAAACTTTCCATGTCAAAAGACAACAGCCATACAATCACAGAACTTGTAGAGTTGGAAGGAACCTCAAGGATCATCTAGTCCAACCCCCTGCAATGAAGGAATCTCAACACATGGTCCCCCATCCAATTTGAAACCCTACTTAGTTTTGCAAGATAAGGATAAAAAAGCACACACACACACACACCCTTGTCACCAGTACACTACCTTATGTGCAATTGGCTGTATATGTTTGCGCCAGAGGGATCTTTTATATCTGCTGCTAATTTTTTCCATCCATCCTGCGGATCAATAAAATCAGCCAGTTGCCTCATCATGCCGTAGCCAAGGCAACGCACACACATTGAAGGCGTTATAGGGCAGTCACTCATCTCCGATTCCTAACAAATGTGAAGAGAGATTGCTTTCAAATACGACTTATTTGAAGATGTAAAGGTGGCAGCATGGTAGAGTCTTCATGGGGGTTTAAAACCCACCTGTCATATTTGTGTCCAACTTTGGTGGGCACCTATGACAATGAAATTGCACTCTTTTCCCTCTCAGCTACTTTAAAAAAAAAGACTCACAGAACTACCATTTTCAGCACCCTTCGACATGTTTTCCTTCAGCATTTCCCAAAGTTGGGGTTCTCCAGCTGTCCCCCCCCCCGGACTGTGATTCCCATCATCCCTGACCACTGGTCTTGCTAGCTAGGGATGATGGGAGTTGTAGTCCAGAAACAGCTGGAGACCCAAGTTTGGAAGACACTGCTTTAGATGTGCACACATCCATAATAAACTAGCCTGTGGAAGTGTGCAATGGGGGCAGAGGTGGTAGAATGAAGGCATTACCAAATTGTGGTGCTTTATGAGAAAACATTTCCTGTGCGCAAGTTGTGAGGGGAGGACAGAAGGAGGAAGGTTCCTATTTATTTATTTTTTTGACGTTTCCGGATCAGTGTTTTTAGGTGGGAGTTCGTAGCTGGCAGAGACCCAAACAGTGGTAGTTACCCTGCACTGCACCTGACCCAAATAAGCCCAGCACATAAACACAACAGAGACTTTAAAAAAGACTGGGAACCGTATATGATGCATATACAGAAACACTGTAAAGAAGTAGACTTGCTTGCAGGGTTTGACTAAACACTGACGATTAAGAAAACAAGTATAAAGTTTAAGAGGTAACAATTGGGTAAATAAGAAAATGTAAGATGTTATTTGGAAAACAGGATATAAAAATGATATAAATGCAATAATATTTAGCTAAAAGATTACAAATTAAGGTAGAATAAAATAAGCAGAAGAAACAAATATTTAAAGAACCAGAGGAGGAAGTTGAGGGAAGTCGGGGGGGGGGTTGCGGGGGATTTGTTTCTCTCTCTCTCTTTTTTCTGTGATAATGATAATCGTATTGAATATAGAAATGTAAAACTCAAGAAAAACTATTTTTAAAAAATAAGCCCAGCACCGCTTCAGAAGAAAGAAAAAGAAAAGCGAGAAAACAAGCTAGCTCTCACCCGCCGAGCGAGGACTCTGCTTCTGAGCCCAGAGACAGACACGCGCCTTCCCTCGCCCCGCCCACCGACGTCACCCGGGAACTTCCACCGCTCTCGCTTCCTTTGAAGCAAGCCCCGCCCATCTCGCCTTCGGAGTTGTGCGCATGCGCTCCATTGAACAGGCTCGGCCCCATCGAGAAAGGATCTACAAACCTATGCGGGAGGTACCAAGGAGGCGGTGGGCGGGGGGTGGCGGCGTGGTGTTTCACCACGCTTTATCTCCGACCCAAATGTTTTAATCCGCTACCCTGCGCGGGATTTTGGTCTATCTTTGATTAGACAATCCTATCTCCTCCTCCTCCTCTACTCTTTCTCCTTCCTTGCTGCTGGCTCCACCCCTACTTTGAGGAAAGTGGTATGCACTCACTTCCTTGGCTCCGCCTCCTTATCCCCCCCCCCAACTAGATGGAAGATTCCTTCCAGTCGCTCCAGCACTATTGCCGCCAGGGGTCCTCCTGCGCCGCGCGGATCGTCCTAAGTGTTCGCAGGGGGATTTCCGGGCAATTGGATGCAATTGCAATTGGAGCGTTGCGCCGGCGGTGGTGAGTCGGCGTTGTGCGAGCCCGCAAAAGAGCCTTGACAGCAGGTCAGAGACCGCTGGTGTTGCCTACTCTGACTGGCAGCGGCTCCCCAAGGGGGTCAGAAAGCGGGGGGGAGGGGGCATTCTAAGCCCTACCTGAATTGAACCTGGGAGCTTCTGCCTGCAAGGTAGAGAGAACTTAAGATGAAGGAGACACGTGGTCCTCCAGATGTTCTCGTGCTGCAAATCCCAACCAGTGTGGCTAATGCCCAGGGGTGATGCGAGCTGCTCTCCAGTAGCATTTGGAGGTCTACGCATTAGTCCTCAACTGAAGTAGAGCCTGGCTAGCAATAGGAAGCAACAAGCAGCAGCTTCCTGCAACCGTAGGGAATGGAGCTGCTCTTACAAGGATCGCTGGGCCCCCTTCTCTCTCTCTTTCTCAGAGAAAGAGAAGTAATGTGGGTCTGGCTTGATCAGTGTGAGATCATTTGTTGTTGTTTAGTTGTGTCCGACTCTTCGTGACCCCATGGACCAGAGCACGCCAGGCACTCCTGTCTTCCACTGCCTCCCGCAGTTTGGTCAGACTTATGTTGGTAGCTTCGAGAACACTGTCCAACCATCTCGTCCTCTGTCGTCCCCTTCTCCTTGTGCCCTCCATCTTTCCCAACATCAGGGTCTTTTCCAGGGAGTCTTCTCTTCTCATGAGGTGGCCAAAGTATTGCAGCCTCAGCTGCAGGATCTATCCTTCCAGTGAGCACTCAGGGCTGATTTCCTTCAGAATGGATTGGTTTGATCTTCTTGCAGTCCATGGTACTCTCAGGAGTCTCCTCCAGCACCATAATTCAAAAGCATCAATTCTTCAGTGATCAGCCTTCTTTATGGTCCAGCTCTCACTTCCATACATCACTACTGGGAAAACAGAGAATCATAGATTTGGAAGGCACCACAAGGCTGTTGTTGTGGATTGAATTTATACACCGCCCTATACCCAGAGGTCTCAGGGCAGTTCACAGTACAAAATCAAAATATAAAACCACAATATATATATATAATCAAAATAAAATCAACAACCCAATAACACCCCCTTCCCCACGCAAAATAAAGAGCCACATTATAAAAGGGCATAGGATATGCAATGCAGGAATATTTTGTCCAATGGGGGGCTCGAACCCATGGCCCTGACATTATCAGTCTCATGCTCTACCAACTGAGCTGCATGAAAGGTAGCAACCTGGAGTTACGGATGCTGGGGATTTTGGCTTCATGGTGGGTAAAATACAGTTGCCAGGATTCTTTGGGAGAAGCAGTGTGCTTCAAATGTCTAAAGGGAGCAAAGGAGTGGGAAAAGTACAGTGGTACCTCAGGTTACAGACGCTTCAGGTTACAGACTCCTCTAACCCAGAAATAGTACCTCGGGTTAAGAACTTTGCTTCAGGATGAGAACAGAAATCGTGCAGTGGTGGCGCGGTGGCTGCAGGAGGCCCCATTAGCTAAAGTGGTGCTTCAAGTTAAGAACAGTTTGAGGTTAGGAACGGACCTCCGGAACGAATTAAGTACTTAACCTGAGGTACCACTGTACTGCTCTCTTTCTCTCTGGCCAATTCTGTGTAGGTCCAGTCCAGCTCTGCTCCCAGCATTTCACCCAAAGAGAGAAGGCAAGTGGAAAGAGGAGGCAGAAGCTTCCCTGCCTGTTCACCTCTACTCTCTGGACACAGTGTGATGGACCCAGTCCTTACCATAATAGTAAGTGAGATACAGTGGTACCCCGCAAGACGAACGCCTCGCAAGACGGAAAACCCGCTAGACGAAAGGGTTTTCCGTTTGCGAGTTGCTTCGCAAGACGATTTTCCCTATGGGCTTGCTTCGCAAGACGAAAGCCCATAGGGAAATCTCCGGGACAGCGGGGAAGCGCAGCGTGTCTTCCCCACTGTCCTCGGACCTCCTCCCGCCGCCCGCCATCGGAACGAAGCTCCGATGCCGGGCGGGGGGGCGGGAACGCGTTCTCCCGCCGCCCGCCATCAGAACGAAGCTCCGATGCCGGGCGGGGGGGCGGGAACGCGTTCTCCCGCCGCCCGCCATCGGAACGAAGCTCCGATGCCAGGCGGGGGGCGGGGACACCTCCTCCCGCCGCCCGCCATCGGAACGAAGCTCCGATGCCGGGCGGGGGGGCGGGAACACGTTCTCCCGCCGCCCGCCATCAGAACGAAGCTCCGATGCCAGGCGGGGGGGGCGGGAACGCGTTCTCCCGCCGCCCGCCATCGGAACGAAGCTCCGATGCCGGGCGGGGGGGCGGGGACACCTCCTCCCGCCGCCCGCCATCGGAACGAAGCTCCGATGCCGGGCGGGGGGGCGGGAACGCCTCCTCCCGCCGCCCGCCATTGGAACGAATCTCCGATGCCGGGCGGGGGGCGGGAATGCGTTCTCCCGCCGCCCGCCATTGGAACGAAGCTCCGATGCCGGGCGGGGGGGGGGACACCTTCTCCCGCCGCCCGGCTTCGGATGGCTTTCCTGAAGACTTGGGGTGGGAGGAGGGTTTTCCTTCCCACCGCCAACATTCAGAATGCTGTTCTGAATGTTGGCGGTGGGGAGGAAAAACCCTCCTCCCACGCAAGCCCCGGGAACAGAGGGAAAGCGCTGCGCGCCTTCCCCTCTGTTCCCGTACCTGTCCTGAAGGCTTGCGGTGGGGAGAAAAGCCCTTCTCCGCACCGCCAGCCTGGCAAGCGGTTTCCCTAGGAACGCATTAATTGATTTTCAATGCATTCCTATGGGAAACCGTGCTTCGCAAGACGAAAAACTCGCAAGAAGAATAAACTTGCGGAACGAATTAATTTCGTCTTGCGAGGCACCACTGTATCAAGTGAGCAACCAGAGATGGTGGTAGCTGTTCCATGCAATCACAACTCATTTATGTCTCCTTTTGCAGGCAAACGGGGCAGCATCTGCTATGGGGGACCTGCTGCCTAAGGAGGAGGTGATACTGCTATAGAACTAATGGGTCAGAACTAATGGGTCCTGCTGAGATCCTGGCCCATCAGCAGCTGCCCTAAGCTGTTGACCCCTGATGTCAGCCCTGCTCAAAGCACGTCCTTCTATCCATTCATTATATACTCCCTGAATTACGGGTATGTTGCAGCAGAGGGCAACAGTGAGCACGAATACTAAGTCTTCAGTGCTAAGGAAAAGATCCTGTTTATTCGACCATCCTTTGAAAATGTTATGTGCTTAAGATTTTGGCCTTTGTACAGTATACAGATGTTAAAATTGTGCTGATTTGTGTAAAGAAAGAAAGAAAGGGACTATAAGCTACTTCCTCCAAATTTAACTTAACAGAGAGTGATTGTGTAAGATTTTCTAAGACTTGGCTCCATCTTTTTTTTTAAAAAAATAAATTTTTATTGATTTTCCATAAGTAAAAAAGAAAACAAAACAAAAACATAGATAAACACAAAACCGACTTCCCCGTACCACCCCTTTTCTGCATTCTTGTTTCAAGATTTTTCAGCAACCCTTTCGTATTAAACTTATTTCTGTTTCGTAAATTTAACTTCCATAAGATAATAAAACAACTGTAGTTCTTTATCTCTTATTACCCTGATCCTCTAATTTTCCAAATTACAACAGTTTTTAAGATAAACTTTAAATTTGTTCCAGTCTTCATCCACCGCCTCTTTCCCCCGGTCTCGGATTCTGCCAGTCATCTCTGCCAGTCCCATATAATCAATCACCTTCGTCTGCCATTCTTCCAACGTGGGTAGATCTTGTGTCTTCCAATACTTTGCTAGAAGGATTCTTGCTGCTGTTGTAGCATACATAAAAAATGTCCTATCCTTCTTTGGCACCATTTGGCCCACCATACCCAAGAGAAAGGCTTCTGGCTTTTTATTAAATGTTCTCTTCAGAACTTTTTTAATTTCATTATAGATCATTTCCCAGAAGGCCTTGATCTTCGGGCAGGTCCACCAAAGGTGATAGAAGGTTCCCTCCGTTTCATTACACTTCCAACACTTGTTATTGGGCAAATGATAAATCTTTGCTAACTTAGCCGGAGTCATGTACCACCTGTAGATCATTTTCATAATGTTTTCTCTTAAGGCATTACATGCCATAAATTTAACACCAGTGGTCCATAACTGCTCCCAGTCAGCAAGCTCAATGTCATGCCCTATATCCTGTGCCCATTTAATCATACTAGATTTCACCATTTCATCTTGAGTATTCCATTTCAACAACAAGTTGTACATTCTTGACAAGATTTTAGTATTGGGTTCTAACAGTTCTGTTTCTAGTTTGGACTTCTCCACTTGGAAGCCTTTCTTTCTGTCCTGTTTGAATACTTCATTTAACTGTCGATAATGTAGCCAATCTCTCACCTTAAACTTCAGTTTCTCGAAACTCTGCAATTTTACTTTTTCACCATCTTGTTCTATCATTTCAAAATATTTAGGCCAATTAGAACCCATATTCAATTTTTTCACCTCTTTTGCCTCCATTGGTGACAGCCACCTAGGGGTTCTGCTTTCAAACAAATCTTTATACCTTATCCAGACATTATACAGAGCTTTCCTCACCATATGGTTCTTAAAACCTTTGTGCACTTTTACCTTGTCATACCATATATATGCATGCCAACCAAATCTGTTATCAAACCCTTCAAGATCCAAAATGTCTGTATTCTCGAGGAGCACCATCTTTTCTTCATTTTTCCAGGCTGTATTATATTGGAATGGAAGACGATTCTGACAGGGCAGTGGCATTCCACTCTTGCACTTACGTGAATGATCACATTGGCTTCTGCGGCAGCTTAAAAACCTTCCCAAAGGACTTTGTAGTAACAGAAATTAATGCATTTGGGCAGTTAGTTAATGAGATCACAGCAGATTCTCCTAATAAATCCTGTGAGAGCCTGTCGGAACAAGCTGGGTTCTGTCAACAGGATCCCAAAAGGCTGAGACTGAGTCGTCCAGAACTGTGCACAGATGAGGAATATTGCAACATTCGGGATGGTGATGTTCACTGTTCCCCAGAATGTCCTTCTTTCTCTGCTGGAGAAAGTGAAGAATATAAATCTGATAATGTACCTGAAAACCACCTTGTCAAAGCTGTTACCCTGGACTCCTTATTAGATAGGCCCTTAAGGGAGCAACTCGGTCAGTTTGCTTGCCGTGTGAAAGACATGTGGGAATCTAAATCTGAACAAGGGCTTACTCCAGATGAATTTTCTCTTGGTCCAGTCCTTGACAAGAAGAATCGAGCCAGCTTGCATGGTGCCATCAGACAGGAATACCCTTTCTTAGCCACGGTGACAAAATGTGGCGAGATTATTGTAAAGGCAAATCAGGACTACCAAGATCTTTGCCAGCTGGTGTCTGAAGAGGAAGCATGTGGCTTTATGAAATTTTTAGATGCCAAACTAGAACAATCAAAGTTTGCTTTCAGACCAGATGGAGATAAGGAACACCGGAAGATGGTTCACCACTTTATCAGTAAAAAGTTTGGGAAGCTTGTGGAAACCAAGTCTTTCACCGACGCTCAACAAAAAGCGGTCATTATAGTAAGGTTTCGTGAGAAAAGTGGTTCAAGGAAAAGGACTGCTGTTGACAGTGGGATGAGAAAAGAAATTTACACAGGTAAGTATGCAACAACAATTTTGTCGCTTCCTTGGAAGAGTTTATATGTCCTTTGAAAATCCACCAGCCTATAATAGACTAACGTATCACTGTCTTATGGGACGCGGGTGGCGCTGTGGGTTAAACCACAGACCCTAGGACTTGCCGATCAGAAGGTCGGCGGTTCAAATCCCCAACGGGGTGAGCTCCCTTTGCTTGGTCCCAGCTCCTGCCAACCTAGCAGTTCGAAAGCATGTCAAAGTGCAAGTAGATAAATAGGTACCACTCCGGCGGGAAGGTAAACGGCATTTCCGTGTGCTGCTCTGGTTCGGCAGAAGCGGCTTAGTCATGCTGGCCACATGACCCAGAAGCTGTACACTGGCTCCCTCGGCCTGTAAAGTGAGATGAGCACCGCAACCCCAGAGTTGGTCACGACTGGACCTAATAATCGGGGTCCCTTTACCCTTTACCTTTATCACTGTCTTAATGAAATCTACATGAATGAAGTCACACACAGACAGCTTTATTGCAGTCCATAGACCCAAAATACACAGTACAACAATAGTAAATGTCAGTAGTTATTAAGCTGTAAGATCAGCCTTGCTTGAATGAAGTCAGCACTTGTTAAAAAGAGCCACATCACAACAAGCTGGTTCACTCTTAAGGTTAAACCATTGTTTAAAATAAACTATGGTTTAACAAGCACTTTGCTCCTCCCCTACGCCTGACTGTCCTGCATCGGGGAGGAAACAAGCCAGAGTTTGGTTTGTTGTAATGTGTACAACCAGGAATCGAGTGGGCTCATGCTTGCCTCAGACGTCTCGGCTTCCGCTTGTAGGTTTGTTTGGAGGAAAACAAACGATGAGCCAAGGTTCACATGCCACAAGAAATCAAACCTGCTTGTTCCTGGCTTGCTTCTGCCCCCTAGTGGCAAAGTCATGAACTGGGAGAGGAGCAAAGTCCTTGTTTTTATTAAACTATGGTTTGTTTTAAATTATGGTTTAATGCTGCATGTGAGCCAGGCTGGAACTGATGAGAGTTGTAGTCTAGCAGCATAGGGAGGGCACTAGGTAGAACCAGTGATGCACAGGCAAGAATATCATTTCTGCAAGTTATTGCTGTGTAGCATAGAGTAAAATATGTTACTAGTTTACGTGAGCTATGGTTACCTACAGGGTGGATTTGATTTAAATCAAATCGATTTAAATCACTAGTCAGTAAGACTTGATTTAAATCTTTTTCTTTTTCTTTTTTACAGAAAGACTCATTCTTGCTGGTATAATCTTCATATTTACAACCAGATGAAGGTTTCATTTTAGGAATAATAAATTTTCAGAGTAGTTTTTACAATTATATCAGAAATTACTGATTTGGACATACTATTAGAAATACAGGTAATTATGAAATTATTGTGAGGTTTAATAAGTTACCTATTTATATTTGGACAGCATTTCTGCTGTACTTTATTGGAAGGAGAAAAATAATCATTTCCTTAATAACAATTTAAACAATTTGTTTAACTAAAACAATAACATTATGTATCCATGTATCCATATGTATCCATGTTTGTTAACTGGTGTGGTTAAATAATTTTTTTAAAAAACACACACAACAGACTGAGTTTTAGCAAACATGAAAAACTTAAAACAAATCCTTATTTCCTGATGAATAGCCTTTGGACTATAATGTAACTTAAAAAGAAAGCTATCTTTAGAAAGATTTTTCCTCCAAAAGCATTTTATTTTCAAAATCTAATTTAAATTAAAAAAGTGATTTAAATTTAAAAAATCATTAAAAAAATTTTTTTGTTAAAAAAGTAATTGATTTTTATCCACCCTGGTTACCTACAGACAGCAGCAATAACTTTGATACTGCATTTGCTAACATTTAGAAACTGCTTAAAACAGGGTATTTCTACTCCAGCTTAGTTTTAGTTTTACTGATTTCCGTAGTACAAGGATTAGTCAGTAAAAAACCCATTTTTCTCAATTGCTTAGCCAATGCCTACACTATCCTATCAACAGGTCTTCCATTAGCTCAGTCATTTGAGGGAGACACCATTCATGTTTTCTGAGCAACGCCATCCACTTGGGTGCACTGAATCTGCAATAATGTGGTTTCAGCTTTTACTCTCCGGAAAGAGAACCTGGAAACGCTTGAAGCAATTAGCTTCTTGTCTGCTGAACTTGGCGTGCTCCCTTCAGACTTCAGTTACACAGGCATTAAAGACAAGAAGGCCATTACGTACCAAGCTATGGTTGTGAAGAAGGTGACGCCTGAAAGGTAATGAGAGATTTGTGGTTGCACTTTAACATCATGGTTTGAATTAGACTCTAGCTCTCTTTTAAAATTCAAATCTAGTATTTAATTTTGCTGGTTAGAAAGGAGATCCATTTTGTTTTGAGTTCTTAACACTTGAAGCAATACGGAAAGTTAAAAGTCCTTTGGTACGCTTCGCATCTAGAACAGGGGTAGGAACCCGAGAGCCAAATGTGATCCTCCCAGCTTTTCTGTCCGGCTCTCTGGACTCTTGATTAATAAGCTGTATTCTTGAGTACCATTAAGAGAGAAATAATTTCCCTTCTTTTCAAAGCATTGCTCATTTGGTACATGAGAAACATGTTGATTTGGGTGTTTATTTCTACAGCTGCACATGTAGCAAAATGGTGTAATGTTACTTGTCTTAAAGCAATTTTCACGGTTAATCGGCTGAACCTTTCCCTCGCGTTCTCATCGTTCTGATCCCCAAGAATCTGTTGTTCATCAAAGGGAAACTTTGTCTGCAACGCTCTCTAAAGCATAATGACTCTTTCCTTGTCGGCCTTACAAAAATAAACTCGCAGGACCATTTCTCTCCTTGGGTGTGTAATGTACATGCTTGTAATTGAAAACACAGCTGACAGTTCAAATATCTGACCCTGAAGTGTTCATTTAATCTTTTACTTCTAACACACATGAAATCCCCATTCAAGCCGAGGAAATGTTTTTCCAAGTAAAACTGCCACAGAATTGTGTGTGAGATTGGGGCAACACGTTGAAAATGCAATGTCGATTAAGTCCCTTTTTCTCTCTCTCGCAGAAGTATTCTGTAGAGTCTGTTACTAGTTAGCCCTCCCTTTTTTTCTTAAGCCATTTCTGCTTATACTTTTTTACTGAACACTACGCTGTTCTCACTCCCCAACTTTGCCCTGCCAGTCTTGGTTAAATTTTTATTCCTCAGCGCAAGGATACCTTTCTATGTATCAGTTGCACTACTTTTATTTAGTCATCATGCATATTGCTTAGAATGCATGTCCCTATATAGTGAACAAATAAACAAACAAAACTTGAACACAGTATCTTCTTTAGCTTGTCTTCCACAGCTTGAGAAAGTCTTACTCTCTCATTTCCAATAATCTGCACACTGGTTGTTTTTACTTCTTTGTGGTTGTTAGTTGTCCAGGACATTTTGCAAAAATTAAAAATGGGAAAGTAGGATACGACTGTGCAAATATACAACAACAATTAAAAACACAGTTTGAGCTGAGAGACAAAAATAGGTAGTAGAATCAGCCCAAAGAGCAAAAACAGTAATATTTTCAAGTGGCATAGGAATGTCAACAGGGAGAGAAACCAAATGGAGTTCTGTAGTTTCGACCACCGCACACAGCCTGCTCCCTGACTACGCCCATGCTTTGCATGCCCCCATCATGCTCCTATGCACTTATCATGTGCTAGGTAATACATGTACAACATTAGCACTCTAAAAATTGATGGTCTGGGTGGTCTTCATATAGACACATATAGTATGTGCATTAAAAAGTGGCAAGGTGTGTGTGCAATGCTTTTATCAATAAGTACTTTTTGTTTAGCCTTCCTCCTGCAAAAATCAGAACACGATCTTAGCACATTGTGGGGCTGGGAGCACATTATTGCAGAATTTCTGCTAATGCGTATTTTGCAGCAGTGTTAAGTGGTAGCAACGAAATATCAAAAGTTGAAGGTCCAAGCGAGGGCATGCTTTCTCCCCCCGGCCCCAGCAAAACCATTGCCAGTAAAATGCTATAGGAAGCTCATTTTTTGAAAACTGCTTCCTTGTTAAAATATTCAGCGTCTAGAAAATGACACGGCATTTCCAACGTTTCCTTTCTGCAGATTGAAAGAACTTGGAAACACCATTGGGAAAAAAGGAATTGGTGTGTCTAATGTACACTCTGCCAGTCAGCCGCTGAGACTTGGTCAATTGCAAGGAAACCATTTTGATATAATTGTAAGAGATTTAAAACTTAAAAGCAATGACTGTTCCGCGAGCCTAAAGGAGAGAATATATGAAGCAACTGAGAACGTCAAGGTAAAGCAATAGTACATTTCAAAAGATGCTGCCTCTAGCTTTCCATGCCTCTATGTTTTTAAAATACTGCATAGTGTCCAGATCAGCATTGCAAGCTAAAGATGCACCTCTTTGCCTTAGCTTTGGCCACCTGAGGTGTGTATTTTTGGATCCATCTTATTTTTGTAAGTCTAAACTGTGTAACATTGTATATTGGACGCAGGTGGCGCTGTGGGTTAAACCACAGAGCCTAGGACTTGCCAATCAGAAGGTCGGTGGTTCGAAACCCCGCAACGGGGTGAGCTCCTGTTTCTCAGTCCCTGCTCCTGCCAACCTAGCAGTTCAAAAGCATGTCAAAGTGCAAGTAGATAAATAGGCACAGTGGTACCTCGCAAGACGAATGCCTCGGAAGACGAAAAACTCGCAAGACGAAAGAGTTTTTCGTTTTTTGAGTTGCTTCGCAAGACGAATTTCCCTATGGGCTTGCTTTGCAAGATGAAAACGTCTTGCAAGTTTGTTTCCTTTTTCTTAAAACCGCTTGAAGAGGTGCAGTTGCGACTTGACCATGCTTCGCAAGACGAAAAATTCGCAAGACGAAAAAACTCGCAGAATGAATTAATTTCGTCTTGCGAGGCACCACTGTACTTCTCCAGCGGGAAGGTAGACGGCATTTTCGTGCGCTACTCTGGTTTGCCAGAAGCGGCTTAGTCATGCTGGCCACATGACCCAGAAGCTGTACGCCGGCTCCCTCGGCCAATAAAGCGAGATGAGTGCCGCAACACCAGAGTTGGCTACGACTGGACCTAATGGTCAGGGATCCCTTTACCTTTACCTTTAACATTGTATATTAATATTAATGTTGTGTTTTAATAGTCGTAATCTGCCCCAGAACCTTAGGATGAAGGGTGGGAAATAAACTACTGTAGTAGTAGTAGTAGTAGTAGTAATAATAGTAACAACAACAACACATGCTATGATTCTTCATATGTTTAACTTTTCCTCTTCTTCATATGTTTAACTTTTCCTCTTCTGCTTTGCAGAAAAATGGTTTTATAAATTTCTATGGACCTCAGCGATTTGGACAAAGGCAGACTATACAGACAGACCAAATTGGATTGGCTTTGCTGAATGAAGAACTGGTACACACACAGAGAGATATAATTTTATACTTCCCTTCCTCCTAAGAGCTATTGGGGTGGGGTGAGGTCACACATAGTTCTCCTTCCCTGTTCTAACATTGCAACAATTTTGTGAGCTAGGTTCATCTGAAAGAGATGCACTGGCCCACGATCACTCAGTGAGCTTTATGGCGGTGTGTGTGAGAGTAGGCTCTTTTTTAAAAATTGGATTATGAGTGTTGTTCCTTATGTAGCCAAAACAGCACCCACCGTGCAGACTTAGGGGGACTCCCAAGGTTTGCAGAAGTACATAAAAATCTTTAGAAAACACAAAGTGGGAGGGGAAGAAACCCCAAACAGCCCATGAGGACTAAGTGTGTGTCACATTTGGACATAGGTCGCCCTTGTAAAAGTCCAATCATTCGGAATCAAAGCTGGTGCTAACTTTTAAGAACACACAGAGCAACATGTCATTTGCATTTACTTGCCTTAAAGGTCAAAGCGGTGAAATTGTTTTTCACGCCAGAAGATTCAGATGATCCTGTAAATAAAGCGAAGAAATACTTCCTTCAGACCGGTAAATATGCCATCTCCTATGAAACATATCGCAGGAAGAAAACCTTCTGCGTAGTGAGGAAAAATAGTTTGGGTTTATTAACAGAAGCAATATTAAAATCAGTGGAAGTGGGTAAATAGTTATGTGCTTGCGTGTGTATGTGTATCTTAAAAGGTTCTCAGAATTTGCTTTTTTAAAGATATTGATATACTGCTTGATGTTCAGAATTTCATAATGTATATATAAAATACATAAAATATATACAGTCGTACCTTGGAAGTCAAACGGAATCTGTTCCGGAAGTCTGATCGACTAACAAAACGTTTGAAAACCAAATCGCAGCTTCTGATTGGCTGCAGGAAGCTCCTGCAGCCAATCGGAAGCCGCAAAAACCCCATTGGACATTCAGGTTCCTAAAGAACGTTTGCAAACCGGAACAGTCACTTCCGGGTTTGCGACATTCAGGAGCCAAAATGTATGAGTTCCAGGGCATTCGACAAGCAAGGTACGACTGTATTTAAAGTGTACAAGGAATAAGAACAATTCAGTTCATTTATTTAAAGGCTGAAAATTCCCTCAGAATGCCTGTTGAAATAGGAAAGTCTTTGTTTGATGCTTGAAGTTCCTTGGAGGGCAGTGTGTGTGCCTTTTTCTGCTCTGCATTGAGAACAATGGGTTAAATTACACAGTACTTTGCCCATGTCTTGAGTTAGCACATCTTCCACGTCTGTCTCCACCAGACCTTATTTATTTATTTAAAAATACAAGTGCAAGTAGTAGAACTACAATGACAAGACATGACTTAGTTGTTTTGACAAGCTATTATATGGGCATGGCATGGTGCCCTTTTACGTGACTGCGGCAATTACTGTCACCTTGCAGTGACCCACCTTAGGTCTTTGCCCACGAAAATCTCTCCTCTAATTTTAAACACTCTTGCTTTCATTTCTGAACGTTCGCTGCAAAGTTTCCTTTCCATATTGCCCTTTCCTCCATGGGGCTTTTCTTTGTCGCTCTCAGTGTAACTGGAGCTCCCTAGAGAGTTGGCTGCTTCAGTGATGCAACTAACCTTTTCTTCAGACAGCCAGGAATTAATTGCTTTCCCATGCCCTGAAGAGCTGCATAGAAAAAGGGAAGTAATCATCACCTAATTGAGCAGTGAGCTGCAGAATATATACCACAGCATTACATCATTTTCAGCACCTTTTTAATGGGGGGGGGCACTATTTGCAGAAAGGACCCCCCTCTCCTCACAAGATTATATATTTGTCCATGTTAGGAGGTTAGCAGAAAGGAAGTGAGTAACTGAGGGGAATGTACATGTCTGATAGGATCTGCAGGTGCGAGTGTTGCTGTTTTTTTCTGGGAAAGGGGTTTTCTGAAAATGTCGTTTCAGATTCTGCTGTAAAGATCATAGAATCATAGAATCATGGAGTTGGAATAGACCACAAGGGCCATCGAGTCCAACCCCCTGCCAAGCAGGAAACACCGTCAGATGTTGTTCTTCAGCGATGAAAATCAAGCAAAATAAGGAAAAACTTATGATACATCATTTCCCCCTTTGAGCTGAGTTGATGGACACATTTAGTATTCCCCTTGCCTCTAACACATTCAGAAGAGTGGACTCTCTCAGCATTACTTACTTGAAGCAAAAGCACATTTATCTAACATTCCTTGGTTAGAGGAATTAAGGGGTGTGTGTGGGTGACGAATTGGAAACAGAAATATTAGTTTTCTCTAAGTTTGAAATCTGAAGTACTCCCTCTTTTCCCACAAATGTTACCACCCACGCCAAAAAGAGCACTTCTTTTTCTTAATGATTTTCCTGCTTTCCTTATGGAAATGCAACTCTTTTCATTCTCATTGCCTTCTTTAGCTCTCAGTTTCCATTGACTTCGCTTGTCCTTAACGATGCCGTGATGTAGTCAAATCACATGGGCTGCATAGGGCCAGGATGATACCCTATTCCCTTGTGATCCCAGATCACCTGAAATTGCCAAGGTGGGGATAAGAAGATAAGAAGTAGCAGGAAGAAATGGTGCAGAAAGTGGAAAGGAAACAGTGAGCCAGTTTGTACGTGACACTAAGCCAAACCATGGATAAGCTAATGCATCTGCATGTAGGTAGCTGCAGCAGAAATCATGGCCGCTTTGCTTCTCACCTTGGTCTCCTGAAGCTAAGCCATGGTTTTATGTTAGTATTGTGTCCAAACCCAGGCTCATTGTTTGTCTTCCCCAGACAACCAGGAACAGCAAACCAGGAACAAACCTTGACTACAACTTATGGTTTGTCTAGAGCAAGGCAGGTAGACTGGTGACTGGGAGTGGCCGCCAGACCACATAACACCGGTCCTGAAAGACCTACGTTTCCAAGCACAATTCAAAGTGTTGGTGCTGACCTTTAAAGCCAGGCATAGGCAAACTCTGTCCTCCAGATGTTTTGGGACTACAACTCTCATCATCCCTGACCACTGGTCCTGTTAGATAGGGATGATGAGAGTTGTACTCCCAAAACATCTGGAGGGCTGAGTTTGCCTATGCCTGTTTAAAGCCCTAAACAGCCTCAGCCCAGTATACCTGAAGAAGTGTCTCCACCCCTACTGCTCAGCCCGAACACTGAGGTCCAGCTCCAAGGGTCTTCTGGCAGTTTCCTCACTGTGAGAAGTGAGGTTACAGCAAACCAGGCAGAGGGCCTTCTCGGTGGCAGCACCCGCCCTGTGGAACACCCTCCTATCAAATGTCAAGGAAATAAACAACTATCTGAGTTTTAGAAAACATCTGAAGGCAGCCCTGTTTAGGGATGTTTTTAATGTTTGATGTATTTATCGTGTTTTTAATATTCTGTTGGGAGCCTGCCAGAGTGGCTGGGGAAACCCAGCCAGATGGATGGGGTAAAAATAATAATAAGTTGTTGTTGTTGTTAAGTAAACTGGGCTGGGGGGGGGGAGGAGGAAATGAAACAAGTAAAAAATCATCATCATCATCATCATAGTAGTTGAGATAAATATTTATCCACCCTGAAAGTGCTATTTTTGACATGGAAAAGTGGAGAGCAAATCTGCACATTAGCCTCCTTTGCTTTTAAAAGGGATCCTTTCAGTTTTTTCAAACCAATGAATGAATACAGTGGTACCTCAGGTTAAGAACTTAATTCGTTCTGGAGGTCTGTTCTTAACCTGAAACTGTTCTTAACCTGAAGCACCACTTCAGCTAATGGGGCTTCCTGCTGCCCCTGCGCCACCGCTGCACGATTTCTGTTCTCATCCTGAAGCAAAGTTCTTAACGCGAGGTAATATTTCTGGGTTAGCGGAGTCTGTAACCTGAAGCATGTTTAACCTGAAGCGTATGTAACCTGAGGTACCACTGTAAATCCAACAGCTTAGAGTTGGGGCTGCTTGAGTCTTGAAAGTCTAAGCATCTTTGCAAAGCCAAGAGGCCACAATCTCAACCGGGAACAAACACAGAGCATAATGGACGTGGTGGAGAGGACTCAAAAGGGGGGAAATCAGTGGGCAAGAGATGCAACCAGCACCTTTCAACCACCCATTGCTTCTCATATGATATGTGGAGGAGAAACAGAAGTTGCGCTACGAAGGTGCACCTTAGAAGCAGAATGTGTAGAAGCTCATGATCAGTTTTCTCTGTTTTTCAGAGGACGCCAAAGGCACCCTCGCAATGTTGCCTGACTTCAAAGTCAGAGAGACGATGCTACTGCGTGCCTTGAATCGCTACGGTATAAATCACGAGGGATGTGCACGAGGGTGGCTCAGTATTCCTCACTCCATGCGTATTTTCTACGTCCATGCATATTGCAGTAAGATTTGGAACGAAGCCGCTTCGTACCGGATTAAGATCTACGGTACAAGAGTTGTGACTGGTGACCTCATCTTCTCGGGAACAAGTTCTGAAAGCTGTTCACTGAATGACAAGGTAAACAGGAGCTTGAAAGGCACGGATAGCAAATCTGATCCTCTCTGGGTCTGTTAAATTTCATTAAAATTCGAACGAGGCCTTTCATCTTCCTGGTACTCCATAAATAAACATGCTGTGTTTACAAAAGGTGCAGTCTGGTTTGGCAGAACCAGTCAGATATAGATTATTTTGCTATGCATGTTTATGAGAACCAATGTGAACTATAATGTGGTCTAGGATGTCGCATGCGTGAAATGGGATAGATCTCCTTTTGGAATAAGATGAATGGATGTCAATTCATGATGTCAATGCATTCAGGAAATTGATTGGTGCAAGTTCAGGTAACATACCCCCTTATAAATCAGAACATCCTATAATTATATATATATATATTGCAAATAATAATAATAAACCAATAAAAACCTTTACCCATGTGCATAATGTCTTCTGTAGCTACTACCAGCTTGCTTTCAAATTCATCCCTATCATGAGGACTAGAACTATGTATTTGGTTTTGTTTTGTTTTTGCTGAGTTTAATTGGATCTTCTCAAAAAAAATGGCTAGGGAGCCAATGAAATTGTATGTGGATGGCATCTCAGAAGAATCAGCACTGCCCAGTTAACACAGCTATATTTCACCTGGGCTGAAAGGCAGGGTAGAGATATTTAGATAGGTTAAAAACATAAAATAAACTCTGGATTATTCAAAATGCTATTTCAGAAAAATCAAAATCAGAAGACGTCATCCAGTTGGAAGCCCATGTACTCTTTAATCATGAAGTTATTTCAGCATGGCTAACATTAATTTCACATTCTTTACCATTTAAAGTGGTGTGTTCTGTGATTACGAATGGGATAAGTACACAGCCAAGTCAAACAGTTGTTTCTAATTTTGTGTTGGTTGAAGCCAACCATTTGCCTTTGCAATAAATAACTTGGAAATGTTTCCTCTTAAAGGATGGCGAGGGTTGCAATCTTACACCAATTCACCTGAAAGTAAGCTCCATTGAATCAATGGTACTGAATTCTGAGTAAGCGTGCATAGAACTGCATTGTAGGCGTACAGTAGGTATATGATTGCTTCACATTCTACAGAAATTCCACTGCCTCTCACTAGTGGCAATGTCCAAGTAGTGAAGTTCCACTCAAAGAAGCTCCTGTGGGTTAAACCACTGTGCTGCTTGGGCTTGCCGATTGAAAGGTCGGCGGTTCGAATCCCCGCGATGGGGTGAGCTCCCGTTGTTTGGTCCCAGCTCCTGCCCAACCTAGCAGTTCGAAAGCACGCAAGTGCAGGTAGATAAATAGGTACCTCTCTGGCGGGAAGGTAAATGGCGTTTCTGTGCGCTGCTCTGGTTTCGCCAGAAGTGGCTTAGTCATGCTGGTCACATGACCCAGAAAAACTGTCTGCGGAAGCAGACAAACACCAGCTCCCTCGGCCTGTAAAGCAAGATGAGCGCCACAACCCCAGAGTCGTTCGCAACTGGACTTAATTACCTTTATCTTTACATTAGTATGGAAACACTGTTTTGAATGCATTATAAACATGCAACACCAAGTGGCGACAGAGGGTAAAATAAATTCTGTGCAATTTTCCGTAGTGATTTCCCCCCTTTGTTATAACAATTTAATTTCTGACTTATTTATAGCATTTTCTCCTGTTTGTAGATCCATCCTTAGTCTGTTTATAGACTGCATTTTTCACACGTTGTGCTGAAAGCAGTTTATAAGAAGCAACCCTATGAATACAATAATTCAACAACCATTATGCATAATCAAAATTGCCATCAAAATGATAGCGTCGCTGCAGCACTAGCAGTTCAACAATTCATTTTTCTTTTGAAATAGATCACAAAAAATGAAGCGAGCATGCCAGTTAATATCCCAAAATAGCCCTAAATCTAATATAAGATCTAAAGACCAGACACAGTTTTTTGGGCAGCTGTTCCCTCTTGGGGAACAGGTAGGTAGAAGCAGCTATACCTTGATGGATAACACAGTCTCTTCCCTCCCACTACTAGTTGAGCTCTAACAGTGCAAGCCTAGCCTAGCCATGTCTACTCTGAGCAAGACCTGCTGGGGCTTACTGCCTGGTAACTGGGATTAGGATTGCAGCCTGAATCCTTGCATTTATGTTTTTAACTTTCAATACTGCATTGCAAACTGGCCTGGGAATTATTTGAAGGATGGTAATAGAAATCTCTAGAGTAAGTCAATAAAAACATGTTACATACTTTCCCCCATTTTTTATACCAGGTCCACGTAGTAACAGCTGCAGAAGAAGAGGCCAATGAATATGCAATAACTCAGGTACGTTTGGGGAAATGTATTTCTTTAAAGTATTAAAGGAGCACTAGGCTTATGACATACACTTGTAAGTTACAGGCATAGCTTGATCACTGGAAAATATAAATACAGTCATACCTTGGAAGCTGAACGGAATCCATTCCAGAAGTCTGCTTGGCTTCCAAAACATTCAGAAACCAATGTGCGGCTTCTGATTGGCTGCAGGAAGCTCCTGCAGCCAATCGGAAGCCACGCTGGACGTTCGGCTTCTGAAACTCACTTCCGGGTTTCGATCGTTCGGGAGCTGATTTGTTTGGGAGCCAAGGCGTTGGAGATGCAAGGTACGACTGTAGAAGGAAATGCCAACCCAAACCAAAAATCCAGATCTGTGTGCATTTTGCAGGGTTCTCTCGCTACCACCCTTCTTCCACCCCCCCCCCAACCAGCAATTCCTCTGTGTTCCTTTGTTCAGACATCTCCTGAGCATGCATACATGTGCTTTTATGCAAACCCGCTCCCCTTCCACAGATACGCTCACCTTACTTTTTTCTTCCCAAAGGTGATTATCCCAATGGCAGGCTACAACGTCCGCTATCCCACTAACAAAGTCGGGGAGTGGTATCGCAAAAGACTTGCCCGTGATGGGCTGCAGATGCACCAGTTCAGGCTTCCTTCGTTACAGCTGAACGTGCCTGGGTGCTACCGACATCTCCTGAAGTATCCGCGCGATCTGTCGTACCGTTTTTTAAAAAGCGACGAAGAACCGGTGGGAACTGGGGACAATTCCCCCAAAGATCCCGAAACTTCTCTTTCGGTGTCGTTTTGGCTCGATCCTTCGTGTTACGCAACTGTTTGTTTGGGGGAAATAATGAAGTGCAATCTGTAAAAAGAAAAAAAAAGGCAGAGCTTCGCTGTGTAGAAATACGGCACGCTCAATAAAAATGGCATGGGGCTGTGTAGAAAAAAACGTGCTGTACCTTGGCTTGGGGGAGGTGGGGGCTGTTCCTCCTCAGGCTGCAAAATGTATTGGACCAGATCACCCCACCTTGGACCTACTGTAACAAGACAGTGCAGGAGTACAGCCAAGCTGCCAGCCTTATGCTTCCCAAACAGGTAAACCCGACATCCCTGTGCTCCTAAATTGGACCAGCATCTAATTCTTTGCCTTATCCACACATTAAATTCCAGCTTGTTATTGCTCACCTAGCCTGCATCCGGGTATTCGTACCACAGGCCTTGCATTTCATGCAACTCTCTGGAGCTCTCCAATTTCTCTTTGGCACTGGGTGAAAACCGTACGTGCCTGATTTTCGAAATCTGGCTTTCAGTGTTCTTTTAACACTGGTTCCCCCCCCCCCCCCACTCTGCTTTCAAATCACTTTGTTTTTATTGGCCATTATGGCAGCCTGGTCTTGGGACTTGTTTGGGGCCGAAGAGCAGGGTGAAAGTGCAGATAATGAAATGGAATGAAAAACAGAACCAGGGCTGTCTTAAGCATATGCAGCACTGGGGTGCAAAGATCTGCCTGGCGCCCCCCCCCCCCAGGTTGCCCAGTCCCAGGTGCGCAGGAGGGCGGAGCCAGCTGGCTGCCTCACCGTCTTGCTGGCTCAGTCACCCCCCCCAACTCGTGGAAGAAGAGCCACAGCAGAAGAGCCCGCCGCAGCGCTCCGACCGACGAGCGGGCTCTTCCCTGAACTCAACTCTCAGGCCCTGGACATTTGGCCTGGCACCCCTGAGAGTCCGGCGCCCGGGTGCCCCACACCCCTAGCACCTATGAGTAAGATGGCCCTGAACAGAACTGTGTGTGTCACCTGCAAGTTGATGATACTAACTCTGAACTTATTCTGTCCCAGCCATTGCATCGTAGTTCTCGGAAAAATATTTGAAGTGCTCTAAACAAATCCCGCATGGTAAATAATAAGAACAAGACTAATTTATTATTTATACCCCGCCCATCTGACTGGGTTTCCCCAGCCACCCTGGGCAGCCCCAACAGAATATTAAAAACACAATAAAATATCAAACGTTAAAAACTTCCCTAAACAGGGCTTCAGATACCTTCTAAAAGTCAGATAGTTGTTTATTTCCTTGACATCTGATGGGAGAGCGTTCCACAGGGCGGGCCACCACCGAGAAGGCCTTCTTGCCTGATTCCCTGTAACATGGCTTCTCGCAGTGAGGGAACCGCCAGAAGGCCCTCGGAGCTGGACCTCAGTGTCCTGGCAGAACAATGGGGGTGGAAATGCAGTGGTCACTCAGCGCTACCTTCTGACATAACATCATTAGGTAGGAGCATATTGTCCTCCTGACCCTCTGGCTTTTGGACTCAAGTTCCCCAGACTTTCTTGCTGCTGCATCCTGTCAAAACTAACTATCCTTCATATACCAAGCCCCCTCTTTCCTGTCAAACCACACTCTCCTTCCTGTCCCCAGCCCCTTTCCTTTGGCACCTCTTTTCCTCAGCTGCTTGTTTCTCTTCTCATTCTCTTTTTTAGGTCTTTGGTTCTTCCATCCGTATCTATGGTCTTTGCTCCCCTCACTCCATTGCCTGCTCTGCCCTTCCTTTATACTTGCAGTTCAATACCACCTTCTGCAAGTCAGGAAAACGGAGCCATTGGGTTTGACCCCAGATCACGCAGCTCTCTTTGCATAAGGCACAGGGAACACATGTGGGGTTGTTGGGTTTGAATTGAACTACGGTTCAGCATATCGTCCTAAGAGACCTCCTTGTGTTTGTTTATCCACAAACTGTTGCTAAGCCCTGAGATCCTTCTAGTGCGAGTAAATGAAGAAGCCCTATATGGACTGGAGTAACAGCTATTAAGATAAGGCTTTGGGGCCTGGCTCCAGAATGACACATCAGAGAATTGCATTGTTCCAAGTGGGCAGTTGTGTTATATTAATAGGCTCTGACGCTTCAACACAGGCTGCACTGCCATGTTAGCCTATGTGAATACTAAACTGTTGTATAATGGAATGAAAATGTAATGTAAACCGGGACTGGGTTTTTTGTGTTTAAAGGACTTCTAGGTCAGTTCTGCTACTGAAAACGAAATTTCTGGGTTGAGATGTATTCTGAGGTTCCCTTTCCGCTTATTCTAAGTATATGCTCACCCCTCCTTCAAAGAACTGGATAGCTCAGTGGGCTAGAGCATAGCGCTGATAATGCAACGGTTGCAGGTTCGATCCCTGTATGGGACAACTGCATATTCCTGCATTGCAGGGGGTTGGACTAGATGATCCTCAGGGTCCCTTCTAATTATGCAATTCCATGAAAGTCACTGTATTGCACTTGGTTCCAGTTGGTAGACATTAGGGCTGTTGTACGCAAAAATCAAAATAAAACCCGCTAGCTTGAAATCCACCCACCTCTGATATAAACTATAGTGCAGTAGAGCGAATGGAGGTTGCATACTTGCACAACATGATCTCCAGTTACATAATACTGCGTAATTTGCCTTATAGCAAACATTAATCTACTGCATCAGCACCTATATGGGGAGGAGACTGAGTTCTTTCATTTCCACAAGTGGATTCTACGTTACAGTTTAAGAAGCAACAACAACACTGTGGCCCCCTCTGTGAGCTTCCTTACAGTTATCTTAAATCAGCAGCCAAAAAGACGAGCCTTTTAAATGACTACTCATTGCAAACCTATTCTTTTATAAACAGTGGGAATACACATACTGTCCTTAAAAGGCACAACAGTTAGCTGTATTCCCAATGTTTTAGAGCATATCAGAGAGGCGAAGGATGTCATTGTGCAGTGTGTGAATCCCTGCCAAAAAAATGGGGGGGGGGGAGATGCAGCAGGATGATTTGGAATCTTAACCAGTTGCAAAAAGATTAAAAATATGATGCAAGGCAGCATTTAGACATTAGTTGCATGCATTCTGCTTCATCTGCAGGTGGCGCTGTAACTTTGCAGGAACTAATGGGGGAGGGAAGCAACGCCAGCCATTTATTTAAATGACGTGTAGAATGCTGTTGGTATTATTTCAGATTTTTCCTGGGTTGATGCATCTTATTCTATGGGGTTCAGCCTCTGATTCTATTTCTAAAGGCTATAGGATTACCTGAGAGCAAGAAGTGAGTTTTTGGAAGCACAGACTTTACCCATTACATCCCCACTAAATTTGAGTTACGGTACTGGACAATGTGTCAGGGGGTTCTGGATAGAAGATGAATGGAAATGGAGCATTCTGTATTTTAATGGTCCTTCAGAAATGCAGGTTTGTAACTATCAAATAAAAAACCATGGTTGACCATTTGCCTTTGGACAATAACCATCTATATACAGATGCTGTTTAGATTTTATCATTGGCATTTGTGTTAGGCTAAAAGAGTTGGTATGCCGCTATTTGTGTTACATAAAAAAGCACCCTTTATTCACCATACATCTGAGAATTTAAATTGCCAATCTCTTCAGCCCGATGAAACCAATCTGTGAAATCACAAAGCTTGCATCCTTTTACCAGCAAAAGAAATTGGTCCAGTCAAAGGAATTGCCTTACAGAAGTTTTTGTTTAATTCTTTGGGAATTACAACATTTTTTGTAGACGAAAAATATATTGCATTAAGTCCTGGAAAATAAATTCTGTTTGTTTTATATACAATCCTAGGCTATTTAATCCTTGACGAGGCAAATCTCCCAGGGCATTGTTGCTTGTTTTATTACACCATTCTTGTGCAACTATGAATCCACCCTAAACTTGAATTGTCTTGTTCAGCATATAGTAGTGATATGTGAAAGTTGCAATTCTTGAGCTTCAGATCAGTCATTATTGAGTTTCGGATCAGGAAATACTAATGCTGAAGCTATGCTAGTCTGAGCCAAAGCTCAATGGGCGCTGGTGCATGTTCTGGAGTCTACAAGCTTCTCCATTCCCCATTGTGTGCTCACAACCACAGCTGTGTGGACAGATTGCATGTACGCATGAGCAAAACATAACTGTATTCCGGAAACAGCTTCACTTAGTCATGCTAAAAAATCGGCCTTGATGCACTTTTTCTTAGGAACAGTTCAGCATATGTACAGATAACGTGTGAACAATCTCATTGCCCGATAGTGGCTTCACTTGCGTGAAGTGGGAATCACACAGAAATCGCCATGTAAATGTCGTTCTTCCTTGCATGGAATATAAAATTGCTCACAGCAGGAGATATGTGCAGCTGCCTTCTGCACAACAGCCTCTGTTCAAGAATCTTTCCAGGTTGTGGTGTCGAAGGTGACCAAAGGTGATTTAGTCCAACATGGGGCTCAAACCGCTGACCCTGAGATCGAGAGTCTCATGCTCTACTGACTGAGCTACCCCAGCAGGGTTGGTTATAAATCCACCTAGTGGGTTAAGCTCAGCTTGGCTCGTTGCAAGTTGAACATAACCCACCAGGGAAATGCTCCTGATGAGATGTCTTTAAGCCATTGATTTGCTACTCCAGGCTAACCCTGCTTCAATCTCTACCTGCTTTTCCACTTATGGCCCAGGACTGTTTTCACAAACTCTGCCTATATAGACCATTCCTTGCTGTGAATGTAACCTCTGTTTGGCAACCTCAAGCTTGAAGTTCTGATTACTCCTGCACATGTTGATAGATTTAGTTCAATTTGGCTGTTCCCTGCTCTTCCTATTCCTCTGATCGTGACATATGGTATGCATTATAGATTTTCAGAGGCTAAGGGTATATGTAATTTACAGCTAGATCCTAAATTAGTGTAACTACATTGCAGTCAGTTTGCATCTAGCGAACCTTTTCTATACAGATTGCAAATCCAGACTTGCACATGCAGCTAATGATTATCTCCTTGATGAAATAAATATAACATTAGTAATATTAACAAGTAAATGTTATTGGTGTGTAACCTCCGGGTATAGGGCAGTATATAAATTCAAATAATAATAATAATAACAATAATAATAAAACATGTTCAGATTCATGCAGTTCTATCATCTTTAAAATAGATACTTTACGCCCATTTAAATATGGAGCACAACTGCCCTGTGGTACTATTTGACTATAATATCCATTGCATATGAAAGATTTATTTCTAGCAAGTGACTTTGTTCTTAAATAACAGCAAAGGCATGAATTATGCCTTTACTCCTTATTTCCTTAATGGCCATTTTAAAAAAAAATGCACTCAAAAATAAAGACAGCAAATAACTCTTTCCCACCCCTACCCCGGCCTCTTTCCTCAGTTCTTTTTG